GATGAGCGAACGCTTTAACCACTGGGCTACCCCACTGCCCCAGTTGTATGACTGACTGACTGAGTTTGGTTTTACGCCGCTTTTAGCAATATTCCAGCAACATCACGGCGGGGGACACCAGAAATGGGCTTCACACATTGTGCCCATGTGGGCCAGTTGTATGAAGCCAGTCATGCACCAGAACAGTCTCCTACCTTGAGTTCTTGCAACCAGCCAAGTACTGTCACATCTTTTACAATTCATTCAAGATATTGCATGTTTTTCAAATTCATCTGTTTTTTATGAGTCTCATATATTCAGAAAAATACTTGCCATGACATTTTGATATAAAAAACATAAAAAGATATTTCTATTTGCATGTTTATCCTTTGTTTATATTGGCTGTATTGCTCCACATACTGTCATGGAAGCCCTATGGAGAGCTAGCTATAGGGTCACTTTGAATCAGTTTGATGTATAATGCCATATCATTAGATATGTCACTCATAGCACAGTGGTGTAGTGGTTAGCATGCTGGCCTCTCACGCCAAAGGCTCGGGTTCGAATCCCGATGGAGACACCCAAATTTGTGACCTGGGTCTCATACTGTGTTGTGTCCCTGGGCAAGGCACTTCGTCCACATTGCACTCAGTCCACCCAGCTGTTTAAAATGGGTACCTGAAAAGCGGATGTACGGACCTATACGGTCGCGCGCTGAGCGCTTAGAAGCAGCTTTGAAAGTACAATTCCGTCAGGGTAATAATAACGCCAGAGAACAGCATCGCGTTGGATTCTAGGCGCAAAAATTAGCATTACTTTTATTATTATTATAGCTATATCACTAAACAAAACAACATGTCAATCACCCCTGAAGGCTTGCATTTGGACTACCTTGATGTTCAGTTACGTGAGCTTTAAGTTTTAGGTTAAAAGGTACAATGCCCCAGTCAGTAATATTCCAGCTACACGACAGCAGTCTTTAAATAATGGTTTCGGGTCCAGATAATCCAGTGATTGACATTATAAGCACCGACCTACACAGCTAGACTATGAAGACTTGCATCAATGAAATGCTGACCTGTCGATCCTGTGAGCTTCCAAAAACAATCTTCGGTTGATGAAGATCAAATATGAACTTTATTTTCACAGGTACAAAAAGACTAATGAACTATAACGAGAAGAGGAAGCAAATGTTTTTAAAGTATCCCTTATGGAGACTACTTGAGGATACATGATTCAGAAATCAGTTCTGACAAACTGCAATACCAATTTACTTAAGACATGTCCACATACCCTGGGGGAAGCAACACCAGACATTACAAACAGTGACTTACCTTCCTTGGCTACAGAGACATGATCACAGAAGCACCCGAGTGAGTGTCTGAAATTAACAAGAACATCAATCAATGCAAATTATCAGAAACAGCTGAGGGTGAAGCTGTAAATACAGGCCAAGTACATGAAACAGATAAAGCTTTCTTACATACCATGTACATATAAGAGAGTAAGTGAGTTTCAGCACTGTTTTGAAATGTATTTCAGTTACATAAAACCACTGGTCTTAAGTCCAGAAACATTTCCTCATATCTGGTAAGATCAGCTGATCCATAACTGATCCATAACTAAACCCAAAGTCTACTGAAAATTGGAATAAGTTGAAATACCTAACACACACAATTAAACATCTCAATTGGGTCCAACGTGAGCAAATACTGTCCTTTGTACAAAGCCAGGAATTATCTCCAGGCAGTTGCCTAGCCTCTTGGTCATATTTCTGGAGCACAAACAATGAAAAGTGTCAATAGTAGTTATAAATTTGAATTATTTGAACTTAGTGTTGCATGTGAACCATTGAAACAATGAGCCCCAAACTATTTGTTTCACTTCATGGTAAATATGATACCTGTCTCGTAACCTTACAAGTAGTTGTAGTTTATTTCGGTAAATCAGGCCACAGGCCCATTTTACAATTGATATATTGACAAAGATGTTGATGCTGCGCAACCAGTGCATGTAGCAATGTTTGAGTTCAACAAGTTATATCTAGTACACTATACATGTGAATATAAAATATGTAGATTATGTAATGGACAATTGCTTGCTCCTCATTTTAAAAGCAAAGAAAGTAAACTTGGCAAGGTTATTAAGCATGGAAGTATTTTGGAGGTATATAAAAGTTTACATTTACACTCTGAAGGCAATTTGTAGTAATAACTTGACAGGAAATTTCTTCTAAGGTCATTATAGAATGGACACACTAGACAGACATGGTATTCTGTTTCTACATTTGGGATGATACAAAATGGACACAGTCTTTCACTTTTAGGTATGCCTAATTTTCTACCCTGTGATATCATAAGATCACTACTGGATGTTTGAAATTGTGAAAGAGTAATCCTAAACGCATCAATATTACCGTAACCTTACAAGCATTTGGAAACTTTATGTACTACTGTGCTGACAATTTCCCAGAATTAGGTTCATGTCACCTTGTTATTTAATTCATACACATGGAAATTTTATCACAAACAATTCATGAAATTCATCAGGTAGTTTTTGTTCTTCAAGGACACTGACTGATTGTTCTTCCAAATGATGTAAGGATATTTTTCATTTCTGGTAATGGCATGAGAAAATGTCCTATCCGAATTTCTTAAATGTCAAAAAAGTGGTCTCATGACATTTGTCTCTTGAGGAACCAATGTAAGAACCATAATGATGATAATTAATATATTAGTACATCCCATTGTAAACATAATCTTTGTTATCCTGGCTATAGCAATTATTTTTCAAAACTATTTGTCATCAACAGATTCAAGCCAAATCTTAAAACTCACAATATGCAGTTATCAGGTCAACCTTCAATACTATTATTACTACACATATCTTATAAGATCTCATAAAGAATCATATAGACCAATGCCATAGAGATATGACAAGTCAGAATTGGTGTTTTGGATTTGTCCATACACATGCTGTTATGATATAATTGGTAGGTTTTTTGTAACAAAACCTCATTAGGGTCATTTATGGTTAAACATGCCCAAAAAAATTATTATGGTGATTTATGGATAAATACGCAAATTATCAAAACAACTATCTTAAACAAAGAATATTGGTGTCCAAACATACGAAAGGGGCAGAACTGAGACCTTTCACTAGTGAAGAGGATTTTATGCATTTGGGGTGTTATCCCCAAATTTATACCCTCGTGTCATGGGTTTCCGTAGTATCAAGAAATTTACGACTATGAATACGATGGCTGATATTGTCATGTCATATAGACATAACATAGTGTCAGACGACATACCTTTGTATCATTTAATGTCAATAAAACACTTTTGTCATTCTGAAGTTCATTGTTGTCCGTATCATAATGACAGGCGGCCATTGTGCACAAACTCTGGTGACGTCATATGGTTCTGTGGTATTCCCTACAGATAAAATTACAGGCTCACAGCACATATTACAATTTTTCAACAGCCAATCCGGAATTGTAAGTTTACAGTAATAACGAAGTTGATAAATTGTAATACAGTCAACGATTTTAAAGAATTAACACAATAGTCACATTTCTTCAGCATAAATTTCCAGTTCACAAAATATGTCGAGTTGATCAACGGAATACGTGAAATTAAAAGTGAAAAAAACGACTTAAGAGATGACCCTATCAGGCTTCCATAGGGCCAAAAAAAAATAAATGTTGTGGTTCCGATTTCCTACATTTCAGAACAAGGGTAGGTAGGTAGGGGTTTTGGGTTTTTTTGCAAAATATTTTTACATTACTCATGTGTCAGAAAATAAATTTAATCTATTATGTGGTGAGTAAAATTGTTAGGCTCGGCGGGAATATTTAGGGTCGGTCGGGAAATGGGAACCACAAGCTTTTTTTTTTAGGCCTAGTTAAAAAAATAGAGCAGGGATTAAGTCACGTGATTATTTTTATTGATTACATCAGCTAGCAGATGAGCAATGTCTTGAAACTTTGAAGCAGAATAAGTTTATAGAAAATGTTTGTAAAGATTGCACAAAAAGTGCATTACGTGCTAGACATAAACTTGCATTAGTTCTTAATAGTAGACTGTACGTATGCAAATTGATGAAAGTCTGAACATTTCTTGCTCAGAGCAGTGACGATTGAACGTAAACAGTCGATTGGTGGTGCGATTTGGTGAGCGGCTCGTGAGAAATTATGTCCTTAGAAAATACCACGGAAACGTAAGTACCACGGAATCGTATGACGGCATGATAGAAAGATAGCTGTATGTGAAATGTGGACTGGACACATCTCAGGAAATCCTGCAATGCTTAGATAGTGTTTCTAAGAGATAAAGACACTAATTTAAATTGACAGAATTTAACCAATACATTACATGATAAAGAGTAAGCCTGTTAGTTTTTTGGATGGTAAATATTCTGTATTAGGGGTAACTCTCCATAAAACAATTCCAAATACAAGATATTTCCCATCGACGCTCGTGTGACAACCAATTTACAAAGCAGACACCTTCTACACAAGATATCTATTGACATTTTTCCTCACTAACTTTTGTAAAAGGGTTGCAGAAACATCTGAGAAAAATGTGTTGGTTGGTTTGAATTTTGCAAATGTCAAATATATTTTCCAGGTGAAAAAACTGGAACATGCACATTGCACCACGCGTGAACAGTATCGGGATGTAGTTATACTAAACAAATTCACTACATTTGTGTAAAAAACGTGAGGAGGATTTAAAACATCTCTTCCTCGTCATGACATGACAAGTCGTTTTCACTTTTTGTTTCAGTGGTCCCGTCATCTTGCATCTCACTTCGTCTTCGGTACCCGTCATAACTGTTCAAAATCAAACAGTGATGCTTCTACAAAAAGAACGCTGTCAGGTGAACAAACCTTTGACAAATCCGGAAATCATGACGAATTAGCCATTTCGCCCTTCGATGTAAATAGGCAGCCATTAAATAACCCGGATGAGCGGTGCCCGTGACGTCATGTCTGAAGTGTCGGTTTTCACTTTCATTTTGAAATGTCATTGACATTTGATAGCTCTATTATTTTTCAATGCTATATCGGTTTTTATTTACAACTGGATATCACAAACATTTGATAAACATTCAAAAACACTGCGTTCTTCAAAAGCAATAATCGGAAGTCGAGTTGAATTATAGAGGGCGTTGCGAATACTCTGACATGCGTACTACGACACCCCGGTTGTTGTGATGGCACTTACGGCAAATGGGGAAAATGCTGGCACAAATTTGAGAATCGGTTCGTCATAATGGTAATATATTCATGTGACTGAAAACATATATTCAGAAAGTACCGCCTGCCATTTTTAGATCGATTCCATCCTGTAATCATATTACGAATCTTGAACTCAGATCTTGTGATCTTGTTGCACACCTCTTCAACAGTTAATGCGGTGTACGACACATGCATGACAGAAGATCGTGATTTAAACGTAAATGAGTTGTGTTACCTTGGAACATGATTTTGACGGGACCAAGCATATGCTATTTAATTACCAGTCACCACAATAACCGTCTTTAAAGGCGAATCGACGGGGACTATAACATCTTTGAATATGACATGATTCTCTACCAGTCAATTAACGAATCCCACAGAATATTGTTTAGGGTTTGGAATGAAAAGCGATTTTATTTCAAAGACAGCTGACAGACATGTGTTTCTATTTTTGGTTATATAGAAAGGCAGCCTTTGTATTCTGGCAAATGGGAATGTACCAAACATGTATAAATGTTATGGTTTTGGTCACTTCGTTTGTGTTCTCATAAAGAAAAAAAACAAACATTCACACTGTCAGAACAAAGTAGACCAGTTTACAAAAGATTTTTCGATAAATTGAATGATTTTTCTCTGATTACTATTGCTGAGTTATGGGTCAAGCATAATTACATACATAGGTGTGAATTTCACACTGGTAACAAAATGTATCCATATGTTCTTATCACCTCCACTCATTTCTACCAAACATGTATGCTATATTTGTGTAATCACAAACCTCGCCAGTTTGTTGTTTTTCTGAAACTCAGATATGCCATACTGACGATCTGCCTGGTAGAATATTATGACACAAATGCTAAAATATATATAGAATTAGGGGTGGGTATTGCAGAGAATTTTCATATTGCGATGCGAAAGCTTGTATTGCGATATGTATTGCAATATATTGCATGAAGTATTTTTAAACCAAAAACTACTTATAATCGAGTTAATTCTTGATTTATAGAGCAAAAACACAGCAAAATCACTAGGCGTGATTAAGCTTTAATAACAACTTTTAATCATGATAAAATGAAAATGTGAATAATATTTGGCACAAATGAAACAAGGACATATCCGAAGATTTCCGAGTGTTACGAAGTTTTCTAAATGCAAGTCAAAATACCGGTTTTCGAGCAGCGTATCGCAATACGTATCGTTTTCATGTCTGAACCGGTAAATACCGGTAAACCGGTTATATTGTGCAGCCCTATATAGAATCTACCTATCATGTAACATGCTTTGCAAATGTGAAAAGGAAATCATATTAACTAGACAATACTGTTAGCCTTCAGCTGAAAGTTTGCTGATATGACTGAGCCTTAGGAGTAAACCTGAACTTTGTTGCTAGTTTTAGTTTATCTGAAATTTTGCACATGAGAGGCTATTTTCTGTTGCTACAAAAAAGCCCCATCTGACTTTAAACTAAGATCATGTTATCAACAGGTATCTTCAGGATAGACATGTCTTCTTATTTGCTCTATTACCATGTTTTGAGAAAATCCCTGATCTAAACATTTTGAACTATGGAAGATCAAGAAAGAAAAATATTGTGCTCTTCATATTTTATTTTAGAATTTCTGAGCTTTTTTATGTATTAATCAGGAAGGGCACAATCCCTAAGCCATTTCTTCTTCTTTTTAAAAATAACAGCATTACTGTATGCTATTTATTGTAAACAATTCTGTCAGTATACATGGCGAATACAATTTAACAGCAATATTATTATTTGGAATCAAACACTGCTCGGTTAATTTGATCAGATGGATACACCTTGCTGTTAAGCTGTACATAACTACTTGTACTCTTTTTCAGAATCACTTTGAATGTTCCCCCTTACAAAGCGTAAGCAGTTATTTTTACAGAATAATTGTTGACAAAAGCGAAGTTTTCACCAGTTGCAAGTTGACAAAACGAAAGTATTTGCTGACTTTGTTACATTTACAGGAGAGTTAGACCCAGGGAGTGCTATAGAGAACCTGAAGACTTCCCTTCTGTAGAAGAAGGTAGGGAATGAGTGTGACATGCAAGAATCTCTTAAAGTTTTGAAGCACACACAAACTGTTCTTGTTGCACATTGAATCTGAGGGATCTATCTAGACTTGCCAAGAGTCCAATATTTGACCCAAAATCTGCAGTAAATGATCAAGTCAATTGGAGCTAAACCTTTTCAAGGTCAGTTTATGATTTCATGAAGGTGACTTGATTTCTTTTCTAACAGGAACAATAAATAGGAAGTGATAGGTAATTGCATTAAATGTTAATGTAATACCCGAGAATCTATAAAAATAAGAACAGCCCATACAAATTAAAGTTATGAAGAAAATATTCTCAAATTTTCCTGCCAAACACACTATGGAATTCTAGAAAAGTTAATGTCTGTTCGGTATTGAAACACAGATCCATATTTTGCATAGGAGCCATTTTGGCTTATTAACCTCATATAATTTGATTATGATACATGGTTTGTCTGCATCATGCTTATTCTGCATAATTCTTTGGTGATAGAGTGAAATAACTGAACATCTTCGTTAAACTGAATATCTCATAGATTTATCAATCACTCTTTCAACTGGCAAGAAAATGTGGAATATTTTTGTCCAAAGTAGGCATTTTTCCTTGAAATTCACCAAGTCTCTTTAGCAGAGCCATCTTGAAAGTTTTAAGTATACAAACATTAAGTTGGATGTTGTTTTTACTATATGATATTTTTAATGACATCTGCTGCAGACCTAAATAACAATTTGAGCCATAGAGAAGATCTAGATATATTCCTGAAATTCGGTTTTCTCTATGTCACATTAACACTAAAAGGAGATCGTTTTCCAACTAAGACACTGACAATGTTTCACACCAATTGAACTTGCTACATTTAGACTTACAATGAAAAAGATGCACCATCCTGGCACATACTGACATAGTCCTTCTTTAACTCTTTCAACACCAGTCAACCAGAGGCATTTACTGCCATGACACCGAGTTCCCAGAGACTCTTAAGGTCACAGATGAAGCCTATGTTTATGAAGGAAATTATAAGCTTGTAAAACGTTATTGCTACTACATCTCATACACCATTTAAAAGATCTAATCCCACTGTTGATAAATATGAAGTTTATTTTTATAATGTTATTCAAATAATACAACTACAACTTAAATAGATTTATTTTTGTAATGAAAATGCAAGCTTACATTTATTATGTCCAGATAAACTACGAAAGAAGCAAAAACTATGGCGATTCTTTTCCATTTGTGACATGTCATAACATGCCCGTGCCTTTTTGGTTTCATTTTCATTTTTACACATCGTGTCCGAGTGTGAAGATTGACGCGGCGAGAGCCGAGATGTCAGTGATTTGACTTACATTACATGATCGCACAAAAAGATGGAAATAGTAATTTTATATGTACGCTTGACATCTTTTACGAATGCTGTTGTTGATTTTATTCATTAGTTTATTCAATTTATTTAATGATTTCCTCGAAACATCGTTACTTTGCTCTTTGACAATGTTATTGTGGACCCGCTGCCGAAGCATGTCCGAGAATTGTTTTTTTCAATAACATTGCAAAAAATAGTTTATAATTCTAATCCTGTCGATAATATATGGTCATTTGAAATTTAATAAGTGTTTTCAGACATTGTGAAAAGTGATAGATTTCATAAAAGAATCATATGTTAGTTAGGTTCCTAAAAATTATATATAATTTTGATGCGACTACTGCCTGGCCGGTTTACCGGCCAACGGTGTCTGGGGACTCGTGACGTCTTGGTAAATTTGAGAGAATTCCACTTCCAGTCAAAGAAATTTTGTTCCCCTAAATTTGTGTACCTAGGGCTCTTAGCATGGAGTGCTGACTATATCCCTGGTAACTACCGCCACTCTTCAATGTGGTTGTGACCCAGTTGTCAAACACACCACAGATTGCTGTGCAGAGTTGCCTCCCTTAGGCTGTCACACATCCTTGGTTTGAAACCCGTGAACATCGGGTTTATAGCAGGTCTTCAGTAACGCATGCTTGTCCTAAGAGGCGACTAACGGGATCGGGTGGTCAGGCTTGCTGACTTGGTTGACACATATCCCAATTGCGTAGATTGATGCTCATGCTGTTTATCACTGGATTGTCTGGTCCAAACTTATTTACAGATACTGCCATTTAGCTGGGATATTGCTGAATGCGGCGTTAAACAACAGCCAAACCAAACATCCTGGGTTTGAAGGAAAACCAAGTTCTAGTCAACTTCTTTATTGCAATGAGTGCGACACTTCGGTGTAGGTACTAACACCATTATCAAGCAAGTGATGTCTATACAACTTCTAAAATGCCTCTCAAAGAAGTTATCCTGGGTTTGAACCTTAGATTAATCTAAATTTTGAGTTGAACACTCAATTATTCTCCCCTGGGCCGGTGGGGTAGCCTAGTGGTTAAAGCGTTTGCTGGTCACACCGAAGAACCGGGTATGATTCCCTACATGGGTACAATGTGTGAAGCCCATTTCTGGTGTTCCCCCACCATTATATTGCTGGAATATTGCTATTAAACAGTGACGTAAAACAAAACTCACTCACTCCCCCTTTCTCTGAGCTGACATATCATGTCTGGAATCAAATACTCTCTTAAGTGTCAATAAGCCCAGCTCGGTGTGTTACCTGTATATAATGATTCCCTTTTTCTTTAGTCAGGGGTGAAGGCCGGAGTGGATATGGGGTCCAGACGAACCAGTTCCTCGTCGTCCATGTCTGTGACTGACACAGAAACCACAAACAGGCCAGCAAAGAAGACGCCAAATGATTTTATCTTTGGTAAAGCTATTGGTGAAGGATCATATTCAACAGTAAGCAACTGTTTTCTTTGTAAACTTAATGTGTGTGTTTTTCCAATCTTGTAGAACATATTTTTAATTGAAATGTGAAACCTGGAGGTCTTGTGGTCTTTTCAATATGGAAGAATAGTTTTTACATGAAACTTTAATTTGGATCAGCAATCAGTTCATGTCATGAAATGGTATGAAGTAGGATAACATGATCTTATCAGACCCAGAATAATTCTGTTGTTATGATGGTCAAAATCATCAATACCAAAACACAAGTATTATATGGAATTCTATATCGAGCAGCAGGTGCAACCTGTTGCAGCAAGGTTATTAAAGGTTTACAAAGTTCATGTATGCACAGGCATTGGCTATACTTCAACCTGTCATAACGATCATTGGTCACAATTATTGTCAACATGTAATGATTCTTTGTCAAATGTCTTCACATGGACCAGTCACCTTTTTTTGTTGGATAGGCCAAATATAAATCCCATTAGCCCCTGATTTCCTGCTCTCTTAGTGTCATATATGAACTATTTGTATTTTTTAAGTAATGCTTATCCTCATTGGTTCAGGTATATCTTGCCAAGGAGGTTGGAGTGGATAAAGAAGTAGCAGGTGAGTTGCATACTGTTGGAAGAAAGAAGAATAGATTGGTATGCTTGCCGGAAGAGCTGACTAAAACAATCTGTGGCAACTGTGTATGAATCTATGATTGTACGTCAACAGCGTTTATCAATATCTGCCACATGGTAGCCACTGGTTAACTTGGCCCTGCCTGGATAATCACTCTGATATAGCTGGAATATTGCTGACTGAGATGTTATACACTATTTACTCAATGGAAGAAGGAATGTTGTGTCCTTACGTTCACATTAATAGTTCATGTACTGTAGGAGTGTCATTGCTCAGCAACACCCTTTTCTGCTGTCCTTGGAGATTCTTTTCTGCAGCAACTAATGCTTACCATTCATGGTGACTGAATGTTGAGATGATGCTCATTGATTTTGTTGATTCGCTTGTGTGTTTAATTTTATTCTTGTCCGTTTTTAATGGGTCAGACAGACAGCTGTTAGATAACCTCGTTGAGATGATGCTCTTTGATTTTGGTGGTTGGTTTGTCCGTTATGCCGCATGGCCATTCCGTGGTATTAAGAAATTTACGAATAAGAATATGATCGCTCATATTGCCAAGTCATATAAACATAACATAGTGTTGGACGACATACCCTTGTATCATTTAATGTCAATAAAACACTTTTGTCTTTCTGAAATTCATTGTTGTCCGTATTGGACGACAGACGGGCGCACAGCACATATCACAATCTCACTCGTCGTTAACAGCCAATCCGGGAGTGTCAATTTAGGTTTACAGTAATAAAGAAGTTGATCAATTGTAATACAGTAAACGATTTTGTAGAATTAACACAATAGTCACATTTCTTCAGCATAAATTTCCAGTTCATAAAATATGTAGAGTTGATCAACGGGATACGTGAAATGAAAAGTGAAAAAAAACAACTGAAGAGATGACACTGTCGGGCTTCTATAGTTTAAAAAATAGAGCTGGGATTCCCCCCCTTAGGTCACGTGATTGTTTTTATTGATGACATCAGCTAGTAGACGAAATGATGTTTGGAAAACTTTGATGAAGCTTTATAGAAATTTGTATCCTTTACATGTTTGCTTAGAATAGTAGATGACTGTATGCAATTGATGTAAGTCTGACTGATGAACGATGAACGTAAACAATCGATAGGTGGAGCGATTTGGTGAGTGACTCATGAGAAATTATGTCATTAGAAAATACCACGGAAACGTAAGTACCACGGAATCATATGACGGCATGGTATGTTAGATATCTAATTATCATATCACATAAATTTTGACTATTTGTTTTAGTGAAAGTTCTGGACAAGAGGCATATAATCCGAGAACGCAAGAACGAATATGTGATGAGAGAAAGGGAGGTTCTCATGAAGTTGAATCACCCATTCTTCATTCAGCTCTTCTGCACATTTCAGGACTCAGAGAGACTTTGTATCCTTCAACAGCTACTTGACACAAACACATTACACCTTAATCAGAATATTAACTATTTTTGAAATGTCACATTGAAAAATGAAGGCTGCCAGAGTGCCATTGTTTGAGCCAAGTGCAGTTATTGTTGTGTCCAATTGAAACTTCACTAGAGAGACATTAAAGGAAAGTACAATCAAAACATTGTAAAATGAAACACCCAAACAGATGCATGGTCTCTGATACAATACATTTTGCACTGTTCACACTGTATGTCTTACTTACTTAAAATAGAACAACCCTCACTTGCTATATCAGATATATGAGGTGTGTGCTGCTTATTTAATAGACAACCCGTGAAGATCCGGGTTAGCATTAATCTTCAGTAACCCATGTTTGTCGTAAGTGGCGACTAACAGGGTCGGGTGGTCAGGCTTGCTGACTTGGTTGACACATGTCATCGTATTTCAAAAAGGTAGATCGATGCTCATGCTGTTGATCACTGGATTGTCTGGTCCAGACTCGATTATTTAAGGCCGCCATCATATAGAGGGAATATTGCTGAGTGCTGCATAAAACTACTCAGTCACTCTCTCACTACAAAGAAAACCCTAGTTGATCTTGATGATCAGTGGTCATGGATTTGATAACATCAATGTAGGATTCCACATTATTACATTCAACTATCAATGAAAATAGTAGAACAGGTCCGTCTCCAGTTTGATTCAATGTTAAAAGATTGTACACTTGAAATGCAGACGAAATCAGTTTTTGTGAAAGAAACAGACTACTGTCCTTGACAAGTGTTCAGATTTTGTGTTGAGTTTTGCAAGAGGGGGAGAGCTGCTCCACTACCTAAACAAGCTGTCGTCCTTTGATGTTCAATGTACAAAGTTCTATGCTGCAGAAATAGTCATAGCGCTACAGCATCTACATAACCTAGGCATTATCCACAGGTATGCACAGGTGTCTTGTACCATACACAAGGAGTCATGATTGTAGACATTGCAACATGTAACTCTTTACTTTAAGGGGTGGTGGGGTAGTCTAGTGGTTAAAGTGTTCGCTCTTCACGCCAAAGGCCTGGGTTTGATTCAACACATGGGTACGATGTGTGAAGCCCATTTCTGGTGTTCCCAGCCATGATATTGCTGGAATATTGCTAATAGCGGCGTAAACTATACTCACTCACTTTATTTTAAGACTGAAGTTGAACAAATTACAGATATTTTCATTGGTTTTGTTTATGTGGTTTGTTACATGTGTAAAACGCACAGCTGTGAGATAACTGATTAATAAATGTTTGTGGCGTAATTGGTACAGCAAACCCCAGACCTTTTCATACCAGGTGTAAAAAGATAGTACTTTCTGTTACCCTGGCTTGAGCTAAACATAAATGAAACAAATTCAGTAAGGTGGTCTTCAGCTTGTCGTACAAGGCGACTAACGGGATCAGGTCGTCTGGCTGCTGACTTGGTTGACACATGTCATCATATCCCAATTGCATAGATCGATGCTGATGCCGTTGATCACTGGATTGTCTGGTCCATATAGCTGGACATTTGCTGAGGGCGGGGTTAAACAACAGACAGACACAGGTGCCGGAACTAAACCGTATCAAATTTAAAATACAGCTTGGTATAACACTGTAAAACTGGCATGAGTTTGGGTTTAAACATGGCCATATGAATGCCATAATCTTGGTAAGAAGAATAGTTATCAGTAATTGTTACAGTGATGAGATACATGTATGTTTCCAGTCATTTTATATTTGAGCTAATGTTTAAATATGAAAATGTCCTGTAGTTCAATATTGAGTTGATATTTCAGAGATCTCAAGCCTGAAAATATTCTTCTCAATGATGGGATGCATATCCAGATCACTGACTTTGGGTCAGCCAAGATTTTGAAAGACTCTTCTCCAGAAGAAAACTCCAAAGGTGGAGGTGAGGTACTTTATGGCATCCTGGCCAATACATGAAGGCATGCAACACACTGACATCACTATCCTAGGCACAAGTAACAATTATAGAAGTTAAAGGGTTCCTTGGGTCTTTGAGATTTTTTTTCATAGTATTTGATGTGTACTTTGATTTATAACTTCTGGTTTAGAAAAGTGCCCCATGACTTTCAATTTTCATACAGTATAGATTCATGGAGATTATAAAAGTTGTAATTTTTATTGCTCAGATGGCACTTCAGCTTCGGGTGGGCGGCGGAACTCCTTTGTTGGAACCGCCCAATATGTCTCCCCAGAAGTACTCACAAGCAAGAAGGCATCATTCAGGTACTGGATCATCACCTTCTAGATTTCTATAATGTAATATGAAACCAAAGTTTGGTATTTTGTGTAATTGATATTTATGTGAAAGTGCACATGTTCAGACCTAGAAGTGACAGCCATTTTGTATTCATATTTTGCAGTTCGGATCTGTGGGCACTGGGATGTATCATATACCAGTTTCTGTCAGGCTTGCCACCATTCAGGGGAGGGTAGGTTCACAGCTTGGTTTCCATTTTTGTAAAAATGATCTTTGAATGAGACAAATCATGTTAACCCCTGCTATTGTTTGACTTTTTTAATATTTGAATGAATGCTCCAGTTATTTTAGTTATTTCTATTATCTATAAACATATAGACAATACTGAAGAATGTATTTACTTTCTGATATTGAAATATATTAGCAGTCATGCATACAGTCAGTATAATAAGGATATGCTGCTCCAAAGAAGTTAAGAACCATCCAGCTGATGACTGATTAATCATATTTACATGAAAGATTTGATTGGACCTTAACAACCTTGGAGTAGTATATAATCCTTCCATCTATTGATATCACTTCTTTTTATTGATCTTCTTTTCTTTTTCAGACATGAATACCAAATATTCCAGAAAATAACCAAATTAGAGTATGATTTTCCTGAAGGTTTTCCCGAATCAGCCAGAGACTTAGTGGAGAAGTTATTGGTAAGTCACAAGCTGATATATGTGGGTTGTAACTTGAATGAGTATTTCGTGAACACTGGAATATCATTGGGTTCTAAAATACAGACAAATTATAGAATGATTAATCCTATTTACACACATTGGAGATGTAAAAATGTTATATTGTTCATCAACCCGTGAAGGTCCGGGTTAGAATATTGATCTTCAGTAACCCATGCTTGTCATGAGAGGTGACTAACAGGATCGGGTGGTCAGGCTCGCTGACTTGGTTGACACATGTCATCGGTTCCCGATTGTGCAGATCGATGCTCATGCTGTTGATCACTGGCTTGTCTGGTCCAGACTCGATTATTTACAGACTGCCGCCATATAGCTGGAATATTGCTGAGAGCGGCGTAAAACTAAACACACTCACTCACTTTAATAGGACAGTATGAATTAAGAGAGGATCTCCAGTTTGACTCAGGTTTGACTCATTTTCTCAGGTCATTGATGAAACAAAGCGATTGGGTTGCCCAGAAATGGGAGGATTTGGCCCACTGAAAGATCATGAGTTTTTCAAGGGCATCAACTGGGACACTTTGAAAGATGAACCTGCCCCCAAGATGATGCCATATTTACCAGCAACTAGTCATAACCCTGAGCTGTGGAGCTCAGAGAGGGTAAGTACATAGCTTATATACCTGCAACTAGTCATAACCCGGAGCTGTGGAGCTCAGAGAGGGTAAGTACGTGGCTTATATACCAGCAACTAGTCATAACCCGGAGCTGTGGAACTCAGAGAGGGTAAGTACGTGGCTTATATACCTGCAACTAGTCATAACCCAGAGCTGTGGAGCTCAGAGAGGGTAAGTACGTGGCTTATATACCAGCAACTAGTCATAACCCGGAGCTGTGGAACTCAGAGAGGGTAAGTACGTGGCTTATATACCAGCAACTAGTCATAACCCGGAGCTGTGGAGCTCAGAGAGGGTAAGTACGTGGCTTATATACCTGCAACTAGTCATAACCCGGAGCTGGAGCTCAGGAGGGTAAGTCGTGCGTCAGAGCTCGGGACAACTCGGGCTAATCCGGCTAATCACGAGAATCCGGGTAATCCGAAAAATATTAGGGGAACCATTTAAAACAGTGATTTTGCTGAGCAGAAGTTTGATGTGAAGATTGGGCGATCAACCGTATTCGACATCCTGAAGCAGTCTGCTTAGTGGTTGAGCGTCCTCTGACTAGTTCCAATGCTTCAAGCTATCTGAGGCCAAAACATCGTTGAACACTTTGCAAACATTTCTGACACCACCACTTAGGCGTGTTTGATGTTAATGACCATCAAAGACTTTTCAAGTTATAAATTATATATGTTATGATACAACTGATTGTACATTAGACGTCCACATGTTATTATGGAATTACTTGTATGGAAACCGTAACATATTCAACATCCGGGTCATAATGGCAGCTAATATGCGGTAAAACAAACGTGAGTTTTGTGCCAATGTGGTCATGAAATAGATATGAAACTGTTCGCTTATGTGATTATATATGTATGTTATGCCATCTATGAATGTTAATAAATGAAAACAAGTATGTATTGTTAGTATTTTTATTTCTGTGAATATTTCTACATACTGCAGAAGATAACTAGATCTACCATTTCTGATATGCATGCAACAGTATGGCGATCATGACATTTAGTAAACATTGATATTTTCATGCTAAATACATTAATCCGACATTTTCATTAATCCGACATTTTCGTTAATCCGACATATTTCTCTGCAACCACAAGTGTCGATTAACGAGAGTTGACTATATACCTGCAACTAGTCATAACCCAGAGCTGTGGGGCTCAGAGAGGGTAAGTCACGCGGGCTTATATACCAGCAACTAGTCATAACCCAGAGCTGTGGAGCTCAGAGAGGGTAAATCGCGGGCTTATATACCAGCAACTAGTCATAACCGGAGCTGTGGAGCTCAAAGAGGGTAAGTACGTGGCTTATATACCTGCAACTAGTCATAACCCAGAGCTGTGGAGCTCAGAGAGGGTAAGTCACATTGGCTTATATACCTGCAACTAGTCATAACCCAGAGCTGTGGGGCTCAGAGAGGGGTAAGCACGTGGCTTATATACCAGCAACTAGTCATAACCCAGAGCTGTGGAGCTCAGAGAGGGTAAGTCGTGGCTTATATACCTGCAACTAGTCATAACCCAGAGCTGTGGAGCTCAGAGAGGGTAAGTACGTGGCTTATATACCAGCAACTAGTCATAACCGGAGCTGTGGAGCTCAGAGAGGGTAAGTACGTGGCTTATATACCTGCAACTAGTCATAACCCGGAGCTGTGGAGCTCAGAGAGGGTAAGTACGTGGCTTATATACCTGCAACTAGTCATAACCCAGAGCTGTGGAGCTCAGAGAGGGTAAGTACGTGGCTTATATACCTGCAACTAGTCATAACCCAGGAGCTGTGGAGCTCAGAGAGGGTAAGGGCAATCGTGGCTTATATACCTGCAACTAGTCATAACCCGGAGCTGTGGGGCTCAGAGAGGGTAAGTACGTGGCTTATATACCTGCAACTAGTCATAACCCGGAGCTGTGGGGCTCAGAGAGGGTAAGTACGTGGCTTATATACGTTTTCTGCTGCTGTTCTCTTATGGACATTTACATTTTTTGAGGTAAATAAATAAGGAACATATCATATAATATAGTTCAGGTAACTGTTTTAAACATTATATCCAGTGGGCACCTACAGACGCAGGGTCAGTGCAGAGAAAGAGAGAGAGCGAGAAAGAGAGAGAGTGTGTGAGAGAGTAGTTTAGTTTAGGCCACCATTATGTAGCAGGAATGACGCTGAGTGAGGTGCTAAACAACCAACAAATTGTATAATAGGTTCTTCCTTTGTTTACAGGTTGGCTTTGATGACAAGAGACTAGTTGAGATAATAACAGACACTGTGTAAGTAAAATGGCATTTCTTTCCCATAAAAGTATACCGCTGATGAATTTTACTTGAAATTATTTTCTTTCCAAGCTGTAATTTTGTATTCTTTTTGGATGTGCAGTCATAGTAACTTATATGACCCGTCCTATAAGCCGAATTTTGAGGACCAAAAAAGCCGTCTGTAGAAGGGGGTCGCCTTATCCATGAGTTACACTTTCGTCAAACTTTTTCCAGGGGTAAGAAAACAACATCGTATCACTCCTTGGCGTGAACAAACAACAGAAGACGACTTTGTCAGTAGAGACGCCAAATTTGCAATTAAACATCACTAGACAAGATTAATTACCATTTAAGTTATAAGTTGTTTTTGCTGGGCATTGTTTTATTTGCAGGGATTAAGATTACCGTATGCGTGTTGTCTCGCATTACACAAAGCCGGAAATAGCAATCAGCTGTGCACACGTTTCCGGCGAACAAGTTCAAACATGCACAATAATATAACGGACCGAATTCTCACGCAGTCGTCAGTAAAATATAATACAGAATACCGTTATTTAACCCAAAGAAATATATCCTAGCATTGTGTAATTTTAGTTACAGTTTTTGCTCTATAAATTAATTAAGATTACCGTGGCGTTTTTGTCACCATTACACAAAAGCCGGAAATAGCAATCAGCTGTGCACATCGCTTCCCCGCCGAACAAGTTCAAACATGCACAATAATATAACGGGATGAATTCTATTGATTGAATACTATTATTTAACCCAAAGAAATATATCCTAGCATTGTGTAATAGTTTTTGTGTAAAAATATATAATCAACACTAAGGTTATATGGACCATCATGAACGTGGTAAGCACGTGACATGGAACGAGGCGTAATCAGTTTGTGATTGTTGAATGGGGTAAAATAAGCAAGCCAGTTTGTTGCTACAATAAATATATTTAGAGAAGCAAAATATATTATGCATTTTCTGTCAACTACACTTCGCTTCGATCCGCGAGTAGACACAATATATATGACAGTGAATTCTTTGAATAATGTGGATCGACTTTACAGTATGAGGAGGACAGTGACACGGAATTTGAAGGGTTTACGGCCGATGACTTGCGAAAATCTCAGAACTCTCTTGCAGAAATGTCAGTGTTTATTGTTAGTGGACTATTTTTCTTATTGTCATATATATATAGATGAAATATGGACACTTAAATAATATATTTTGAAACAAAAGTTGACTTCAGTTTTATTTACCGATGGTACTTTTTCTCTCCATACTCACTGATTTCACAAAATGGCATCTCGTTGTTGATGCAAGCAGTGATCGCCGGGATATAAAAGGAACACAAACACATGTTGCCACAATACACCGTAATCCTTATTTTGTAATATTCTCACCAACACTTACGCTGTATATCCACTTTCCAAAATGGCGTCTCGTTGTTGATGCAAGCAGTGATCGTTAAAAAGGTAAACAAACACCGTAATCTTTATTATGTAATATTCTTGTAATGGTGTCTCGCCGTTGATGGAACATACTTACCGGTACTCTGGTCTCTGTTGGCGCGACCCATCGCGGGTTGGCCTATCCATGAGAGATATGATTTTGACACTGATTTTGAGGGTCAAGTTTGGGGTCGGCTTATCCATGGGTCGGGCTTATAGACGGTCATATACGTAACTACTTCAACTAACATTGCCAAAAAGAGATCGGGGAGATCTCAATAGTGTGATATTGTCATTCTCTAACCTTGCCATGAAAAATCCCTGTACTGATCAGATTAGCATTAAAAGCAAACATATCAACCACATCAACATAAGACCCGTTAAGATCAGGGTTAGAATATTGATCTTCGGTAACCGATGCTTTTCGTAAGAGGCGACTAACGGGATCGGGTGGTCTGGCTCACTGACTTGGTTGACACTCGTCATCGGTTCCCAATTGCATAGATCGATGCCCATGCTGTTGATCACTGGATTGTCTGTTCCAGACTCGATTATTTACAGACCGCCGCCATATAGCTGCAATATTGCTGAGAGCGGGCGTAAAAGTAAACTAACTCACTCACTCACATCAACATAAACTGTCTTTATGACAAAAACAAATGTCTTTGTGATGGTTTTTGGTTTGTTTTGTTTTTTAATGGTTTGTAATGATATACAAGAATGTGCTGTGATAACTAGATATCATCTCTGGGCACCTCAGTATAACCTGATTGTATTTGTGTTGACAGTATGACAGCTGACGAACGCAAGAAGGTGCTTGAGAAACAGGCCACATCTAACAAGTACCACCAGTTTGTGGAAGGAAACCTTATCCTCAAACAAGGCTTGATAGATAAACGGAAGGTTGGTGCAGCCTGTGCTATCTGTTCATCTGATAGTGAGTGAGGTTTTTTTGCCGTTGTCGCCAATATTGCCAGCTCTATCATGGCAGGGAACTGTAGAAATGGGCTTCATGATATATATTCATGTGAAGAAATACGACTTGTGCCTTGAATGTTAAAAGCAAAGTTTTTCACTACAAAGCTACCCCAATGCCCTGTTTGCCGACAATAAACATTTCATAGATCTGATCATCAACCCCATCTGTGTATGATACAACTGTAAGCGTAATTTCACTGTGTTATAAAATGGATGAAGCAAGGTGGATGAATAAAAAGATTTTGTTGTTGAGAAATTATTGATTTATTTTTGTCTTATCTTGATAAGACGGCAATTTCCTACAATCCCATAACACAGAGCCAAAGTAATAAGAGTTCTCACTGTCATTAATATTTGATAACTTTAATTCTGAAAAATATTAAAGAATGTTGATGTGGTCAACTATAGTGTCAGAGTTCACTGTGCAGAGTTGCTGGAAGCCTGTGGTCATAGGTTCAAATCCTTGATCTCCTGTTTCTTGGATTGTTAGAACTTGTGAACATAGGTTATACCAAAGTGGCAACATCTAAGACATGTATCACTTGGGCTGTCTCCGACATCACATTTGCCTACTGTTACAAGCAGCAGCATACAATTCAGTTGTGTTCATTGAGGCGCTCACTTCTGTTTGCCCTGGGTCTAGTGGTTAAGGCATTGACTCGTCAACCTGAAGATCTGGGTTTGATTCCACACATGGGTACAATGTGTGAAGCCCATTCCTGGTGTCCCCTGCCATGATATTGCTGGAATATTGCTAAAAGCAACGTAAAACTAAACTCACTCACTCACTGTTTGCCGTGGGATGGTGGGGTAGTCTAGTGGTTAAAGCACTTGCTTGTCACACCAAAGACATGTTCAATTCCCCACATGGATACAGTGTGTGAAGCCCATTTCTTGTGTGTACTGACTACTGACATACCGTTTCAAGCCATGTTATGCCTAAATAAATCGACTAGTGAAGGTCAGGGGTAAGAATATTGATCTTCAGTAACCCATGCTTGTCGTAAGAGGCAACTGACGGGATCGGGTGGTCAGGCTCGCTGACGTGGTTGACACGTCATCGGTTCCCAATTGCGCAGATTGATGCTCATGCTGTTAATCACTGGCTTGTCTGGTCCAGACTTGATTATTCACAGACCGCTGCCATATAGCTGGAATATTGCTGAGAGCGGCGTAAAACTAAACTCACTCACCTAAATGAGTCATTGGCAACCAAAGGAAATATTACTGCAGGCCAGGGTTAGCTCCCTTTGTATTTCCGTAAACATCTATGGTGGCATGTATGGGAACAGTCCACACAACATGCCAGGGGAAATTAAACAATGATTGTTGCAGAAAGTAGTTTGGATGGGTGAGGGCATTCGTCAGCTTGACTCTGGAGAGTTTCTGTGGCTTTGTGGCAAGAGACTTTGTTCGCACTTGGTTTCTGGTCATATGCCAGCGGATGGTACCACCAGATCTGCCAGAACTACTAGCACCTCAGTGGCAGCTTAGGTTGTATACTGCCAAGTATTTTCCACAATAGGAAAATTGAGTGCACATTGCACTAATGATTGAATTAATTGTGGCAGATATCAGTAGCCATGATATCATAATAGCCAACAGACTTTTATGTTTTTCACATAAGACACAGGGAGTCTTATGAACGTGTTCATATTTACAAGGGGTAAACATTCATACATAACACAGTTCAGGTTGGATCAGGTATGAGGTGCCGTGTCAACTGTAAGGCCACTCACCTGTTGTGATATCCATTTGTTTTTCTTGATGACACCCAACCAATGTGATAGGTAGATGCTGAGTGTTGATTATACTTCGTATTCCAGGGCCTGTTTGCCCGGAGACGCATGTTGTTACTGACTGAGGGGCCCCACCTGTACTACGTTGACCCTGCCAACATGGTCCTCAAGGGACAGATACCATGGTGAGATACGTCCATCTGTTTTGTGTTGTTAGCTTCAACCTATGGGGATTCCGGGTTAGAGGAACTTCCCAGTAACACAGCACTCAGCAATATTCCAGTTGTATGACAGCGGCCAGCAAATAATTATGTCTGGACCAGACAATCCAGTGATTGATGTTGTGCGCCACTATCCCATCTTCAGTATACAAGGACGTGCAAATCAAGAAATCACCAAGTCTGACCACATGATCATTATGTAAAGTCAGTTAGTGGTGGTTCGATTAAGATTGCTCGCAGTGACTCAACGACCAAGCAATCGATCATGTTTTCACATAAACAATTCTGGAACACTTTTTGCATTAACAATATTTTTCACACGGTTGGTTTTGTCAGTTACATTTCATGAGCACTACATGCTCATTCCATTTCACAATTGAATTTATTTTAAAGACCCAAGAAATTTATGTTCCTAACATACTAGTTATCCTTTAAAGATGTGCAATTTGCAAAAAAACATCACAAGGAACCCAAGGAAGCATGTTTTTTTGGTGCATTAACAAAAATAACCAGGAAAATTTCATAAATGACGCTAACCAATTATTTTCAATGATTGAGCGGTTGTAATGAACCAATCATCAACACTAGTCACAGTAAGCAATATTCCAGCTATATTGTGACGGGGGGGGGGGGCTGTAAATAATTTGGACCACACAATCTAGTGATTGACGTCATGAGCATTGATGTACACAGTTAGGATATGTTGCTGGGTTCAAATACAATAGGCACCTTCCAGCTTTACTGAGGATAAGAGGAGACTTACGTCACTGTGTGGTCAGACCCTGTCTTTGATGATTAGATGCCATCATACCCCAGTCATGCCATGGTGTTGATTATTGTGCCCATTGTATCAACCCATGGGTTTTCTGGTTCAGAAGTGATAACTTACAGGCTGCAGACATACATCTGGGATAGTGCTGAGTGCTGCCTTAAACAACATGGAACCTCAAGTGTTATCTAGTCATTGTGAAAATGACCTTGAGTAGGATCGTGTTGGAAATAGCTGTATGTGTCTGTTTTAACAGCAGTGATTATTGAAAAGAAACGTTCAGATCATGTTAGATACTTCCATGAGGTGTCAGTCATACTGACAGTGACAGAATTAGAAGATTGAATAGGGCACACTGCTATAACGTCTAGTTGTTTCAATTTTTTTCTTCTTGGACACATCCGAAACAAGTCATATGTATAGAATGGTTGTGATATATTAATCCTTGTTACTGTCATTACCATGATTACCAGTACCTTGTCTTACAAGTCACACTTCTCTCTTTCATAGGTCCAAAGAACTTCGTCCTGAAGCCAAGAATTTTAAGATTTTCTTTGTACATACTGTAAGTACTATACACATGGTTAACTGAAATTTTTAAACTGATCCTATCTCACGACTTGCACCTCTCAGTCTTGCTTCGACTTTTAGTGGAACGACTGTAAACTTTTTTCCATATGCCTCCTTGTCCATTCGCCCGTGCACTCCATGCTGCTCTCCTTAATTAGCTTCCTAGTTCCTAATAAAGCTTGCAGCATGCTCCACTAATTGCCCACGTGACTACCTTGAATGATCATTTTCTTTCTTGTCGCACGACTGTGTGGACGTGCTGTATATTAGGGACATTATTTCACCTTAACATCATTGGGAAAACTGATAATCAGTCAAGGAAAAGGGAAGTTTGTGCTCAATGCAAGACGAATTATTCGTCCCTCACTTGTCTTGCAGTGACTGTATTGGACAATGTAACTGGAACAAACGATGTGGCAAGTGTTATTCACTAAAAGATGAGGATTTTAAGGCCTACCTTTCTTGTTTGCCCCCAGAGAATCGCCGAAAGGGACGGGAAATCAACAGAATCTGACCCCACTCCCGCCAAGCGTATCAAGTTACAGCGACAGAAAATCGTACCTTCATGCAAGAGAGCGACGTCTGTGGTTCAAGAGAATTTTATGGACGCTTCATCAGATTCTTACTTATCTGAGGACGTTCGGCACCTATTACGTACGCATCAATCACCTCCTTCCATAGCATCAGATCACTTGCGGGTGGTTGTGATCGACAATTCTTCGTTGCCTGTCCCATCTACACTACCAGGGGACCTTAGATCGACACTATCATCATCCAGATCATCGGTACATATCCCCTCGACTGTCTCAGTTTGTTTGGAACCTGGCCAACCGCGTTCAACCAGCCAACTGTCTCCCCACAGTTCATTGAACCGGACGGAGCTGGCTACAACAGCGTCGCTGGGGGACGTTCATCATGAATCAACACTTCAGGTTTCGTCACCTAATCGCCAATCCAGATCGACACATCATTCTAGATCACCACAACGATCTAGATCACCTTCACGATCCAGATCACCATCACAAGCCCAGAGCACAACTACGATCCACATCACCTGATCAATCCAGATCACCTAACTGATCCAGATCACCAAAACGGGTCCAGATCACAACTTCGAATCAGATCACCGGACAGATCCAGATCACAACATCGAAGTAGATCATCAGACAGATCCAGATCACCGGACCGATCTAGGTCACCTAACTGATCCAGATCACAACATCGAAGTAGATCGCCAGACCGATCCAGATCTCAACATAAAAGTGGATCACCTAACCAATCAAGATCACCAAATCAAGCCAGATTGCAACTGCAAATCAGATCACCTTATAGATCCAGATCATGATCACAGTTTCCAGTTAGTGCATCAAATCGATCCAGATCACTTTATAAATCCAGATCATCTTACCAACCCAGGTCAAATATACGATCTAGATCACTTTACAGAGCCATTGACCAATCGGGATCACAGTACAGATCCACATCTCATGGCTGATCCTATTCAGATGGTCGAACCAGAGCTCCAATCAGAACCAGATCACCAACTAGAACTACAGCGACCCGGACTAGTTCTTCATATCATACCGGATCACCTAGCCATACTAGGGAATCCAGTTCACCGGCTTACCAACCTACTTCAGTACTTACCACGTCGAGATCTCGATACAGTTCTTCTGAACGACGTTCGGGTGATCATTGCTCTGATACCACTAATAGGCCTACAGTCTCTTACGATGTTCCGTCTACACGCTCTGAGAATCATTTGACTCCCTCTAGAATCATCGCTGAGTCATGGGAACCTGATAACAATTCCACTTCTACAGCAACTCCGGATCTAAATATGATGATCAGGGCCATAACCTCAGCCTGGAACCAAATACAGCCTTCTACTCCAGCCCATCCGGCTTCGGTAGCTCCTGGCTCTTCATCTGGTCCACCTCCTGAGATTGATCCAGTCCAAATAGCCATGCCTGCATCTCCCGCTCACTCTGAGTTATCTACCCCTGGGGGTAGCTTTGCAGCAGTTGAGACACCTCAGGTACTCCTTTGGATTGTTGAGAAGCTCCAACTTCCCTTGAGTACTTCAGCAGATGACCTGGATCACTCTTAGGAACCGGGATTGGTCTACCTACACCCTACCACCTCGACCTTATATTCTGAAATTATCGAGTACACTAAATGATGGTTTCAAGAGCCTGACACGAATTAAGGACGGATTCTCTGCTCCCAGATATAATCCTTCTACCTCTCATGTCCACGGCCTAACAAAAAGCTCTACGGCTCCGACTCAGAAACTCCAATTCATCGGAGCACTGTTCGACACTCGTCAGGGGATGATGTTCGTACCTCACGACAGGTGGATAAAGATTCAACAATGCATTCCTACAGGACTGTCTCAGGCAAGAACCTTACGACAGTGGCAGGAGCTACTGGGCCTTTTGATGTCAAATCAAGCCTTAACGTACAGAGGCCAGCTCCAACTTCAGCCGATACAGCGATTTCTATGCCCATACCTTCAGGCCGACAACCCCAAGGAGCTAATTTGCCTTCCAGAACCGCTTCGTCCAGTCCTTCAATGGTGGCTCGACGAACGGAATGTTTGCGCCGGAGTCTCTATGATGCCCTTTGCACCGACTCATCACCTATTCGTCGATGCATCCCTCATGGGTTGAGGAGCTCACTTCCTCGACCACCAAGTGGCTGGGCTGTGGTCATCCGACGAACGGGTACTTCATATAAACGAGCTGGAATTCAAGGCGGTAATTCAAGCCATCTCACATTGGGCAACAGAGCTTCAATCAACCAGTCCGTTGATCCAATCAGACAATTCGACAGGCTCGGCAAATCTGCTACAATGGGTGATCAGGTTCTCATCGACTCACTCAACATCGTAGCCAGAGCCAGACACATTCCCGGGGTAAAAAATGTGATCGCCGATGCCATGTCCCGATCCAACCGACCGTCCCCGACAGAGTGGACGTTACTGCCCCATATCTTTCAGTTGATGATCTTCCTGTTATCACGGCCTCAAATAGATTTGTTCGCCACAAGGTTCAACAACCAACTTCCAACATTCGTATCACCAATCCCAGATTCCTTGGCGTGGGACCTCAACACGTTGGCAATATCATGGGAGGGTCTCAATGCCTACGATTTCCCCCCCTCTAGCTCTGCTACCAAAGTAATACAGAAACTATTGGCCACCAGCAACATACTACTGCTTTTGGATCGCACCCTTCTGGACAGCAAGAAGTTGGTTCGTAAACCTAAGAAGCCTGGCAGAGGCAAACCCAGTACCGCTTCCCAACCGGGACGACCTACTTCTTCACCGTCACATGGAACTGCGCCACGGAACTGGCCGAGTAGCCACAGCTATCACTTCAGCGCATCGTACTTCGACCCATTCCTTGTACGACAACAAGTGGAAGAAGTTTGAAGACTATTGCAAGCTTAGGGGAATTGCATCTCCCACTTCCACCTCAGCTCAGGTCATTTCTGAGTTTCTCCAGTATCTCCGCACTACTAAGAAACTCAAGGGTACTACGTTAGCTACCTACTTAGCTGCCATCAACTTGGTTTGGGCTACCACCACGGGCACGAAGATTTCCACTGTTCCCGAGTTGCAGAGTCTACTACGCTCCTATAGACTCTCTGACTAGTCCAGGAAGTTCAGACCTCTGGCCTGGGATCTGTCCATCATCCTTCGTCATTATGATTTCTACAGATTATGAACCTTTAGAAGACAAGGACTTTGAACAAGTGACATTCAAGACATTCATCCTGGTAGCTTTGGCTACCGCTGCTCGTATATCTGAACTGCATGCGCGCTTGATGTCAATCAGGTGCGGTTCGAGCAGAAGAAGCATGGCAAGGCTTTCCTGGGTCTCCGCTGGGACTTTATTGCGAAAAACCAACTGCCAGGGCAACCGGACCGGATGTTTACCATTCCCCCATTGTCCACCATTCTTGGGCCTGATGATAAGGAAGATTTGACACTCTGCCCTGTTAGGGCTCTACACGTTTACCTTGCTGCCTCCAAGGATCGTTGACGGCTACGGAAGCGCCTCTTCATACCCTTGTCAAACACTACAAGAACTGAGGTTTCCCGGTCTACATTGGCCTTCTGGATGCATGCCACGATCCTGCGAGCCTACACCTTTGCAGGGTTGCCTCCTCCAGCCGCTTCCAATCCTCATGAGACTCATGCACTAGCCTCGACGATGGCCCTCTATTGTAACTGCTCCTTGACCGCTATCATGGAAGGTTGCTTCTGGCGTTCTGATACAGTCTTCTCTTCACATTACCTGCGAGACCTGTCTGTCACGGATGTCCAGGGACTACACCAGTTCGGACCTCTTGTACTGGCTCAGCAGCTTACATCGGCCCAACAACGCAGATGAGGGACGGTTCCGCAATGACGTTACCACTTCCTTGTATATACTGAATAAAAGATGAACTGGATCTCAACCTTTTGTTCTCATTATATGGGTTTAAGAACTACTTCACTTGGCCTCCATACCAAGGCATCGGAATACGGCCACCTAGCGTGGCCCTACGGACTTGAGGCACAATCAGTATGACGATGCAGAGGTGTTTGACATTCACGCTTATTGACCTCTACTCCACGGAGCAATTACGTCAGTGAAGTGTGACACTCCCGAATTCCAGTGGATTTCGTTGCCGGGCACATCCTTTGACTAAGCTTAGGCAAAGGAGTGAGGGTCAATTTGATGCTGCCCGGAACTGAACGTTAAACCTTGGAGATGCCGAGTTGTGTTTCTCTTTCACCCGCCTCGGTCGGTGTCTGGGGAGCCTTCTTGAAGCAGGGGCTGGCCCGAATCTAGTCGCAAGACTTTAATTATGGGGGTACCTTGTAAATCGTGGCGAGGCAAGGCGTACTTGCCGAGTTGCATCCCTTGTCTTGTACAAGGTTGCGGCCGAACACCACATCGCTCGGGAGCACCCATCTCCCTGGGAGTCGTTGTGCTTAGTAAGCCAAGGGGTTCCGGAGAACCCACTACAAGCATAGGAGTTGCGTGCATGCGTAACAGGCCTCCTTTGTACATCGCTATCTACGGCTGTCATCAGTCCACACAGCTCCAAGACCAGCTGTGAGATAAGTGCAAGTCGTGAGATAGGATAAGTTTATAAATTTGGAAATTTTAATATAAATTGTATATTTATATACTTATCCTATCTCATGCGATGGATGCCTGCCCGGCCTCCCCACTACTCAGATTACAACGTTGGCTCCAAGATGAGAATGATCATTCAAGGTAGTCACGTGGGCAATAAGTGGAGCATGCTGCAAGCTTTATTAGGAACTAGGACGCTAATTAAGGAGAGCAGCATGGAGTGCACGGGCGAATGGACAAGGAGGCCTATGGAAAAAAAGTTAACAGTCATTCCACTATAAGTCGAAGCAAGACTGAGAGGTGCAAGTCGTGAGATAGGATAAGTATATAAATATAAAATTTATATTAAAATTTGCAAATATACTACTCACACTTTGCTAAGGATCACAAAAATTCACAACTTTACTCTAACGTAGATTTCTAGTTTGAAATTGTATCCATTTGAAATTGGATAAATAATAATATGGTAACCCCTCTTTAGGCCAACAGTCACTTTAATCTAGCCTTATACACTTGATACATGAGTAACCATAGAAATGGTTTTCATGGCACCAATCAACCATTTTGCAAATCATGGAACGAGTCACTGACAAGTACACAACACCCGTCAATAGCAGGTATAGGTTCCACAAGATGAAATGACAAACTGAAACCTAGGATCCATGCTTATAATAAGCTTAGATATTTAAACCAAATTTGACCACACATCATAGTTTTCTGTTGAATCCATGATTTGATCTCTAGCAAAGTGTGAATAGTATATGTCCAAATAGGGTGGGATAAAAAAACAGCTGGAAAGTCTTGGAGCCTAATTTTCATAACCATGTGGCCACATTTTTTCCATATGTTTTTTGTGGGGAGGGAGGTACATGATATATCTCCTTTTTTTTATATCTCCGACTCAGTTTATTCTTTCCAAACTATTTTATTTTTATTTTACAACAAAGTCATTCCTTCAATACACCCAACATGTCCAGCAATTAATCTGGGCTGGGTTTTTTTCTGTAAACATCTGGAATTAATGTTTTCCTGTGTTTCCTTGAATATTTTTTTTTTATTTTTTATTTTTTAAATCAAATCTCTTTAATGAACATAAAAACGTCTGTTGTTTTCTCTGCAGCCTAACAGGACATACTACTTAGAGGACCCAGAAACCCGGACAGAAGAATGGGTTCGTAAGATAATGGAGGTGTGGAGGCGGTACTACAGTTCCGACAACCAGCCAATGAACAGGTCCTAGCTATGGTTGAATTGTGGCACACTGACATACCTAGCATACTGACATACCGAGCATACTGACACACCTGGATATCGATATGGATATGTGCCATACACAGAGATAAATCTAGGCCACACGATCGCGGGACTTCGTCAGTATTGTTGCACATTCCCGTACAGAATGTTTATGTTAACAGGGGTTTATTTGTGCACAACTTTGTGAACACAATTACAGTTGTGCAGTGCATGACCAATGGCACGGAACAATCTCCAATGATGCACATGATACTGTAAACATCCACCATTAAAATCAATGAGAAGTTACCAATGCAGCCAATGAGAGCGGTTGTAACAATCCTATTTATGACAATATTGCAATGGTCCAATCCCTATTTGTGTTTCAAACAAAATGGAATATTCTCTAATCAGTCTCACTGCGTCATATCATTGAATGTTGGAAAGCATATTAGTGCAGGTAATTTGTATGAGGTACTCATTAATTTGTAATTCCCCATTTGTTTTTCTGGTAGATTCGTATCTGTGTATATGCTCACACAGTCAGTTTAATAGCTCTCATGCTGTTTACTCGCAAGTGAAACTTATTGCTCCAATTGATTGATAATGATAATCAGACATGTCTGATATAGTTAAACATTCACCTGTAATATGAGTACCATTCTGTATCAAGTTGCGATGAAAAATATCCCTATCAACGTGAAATAGTGTAATAATAGTTGTATTGAAAGAAATATTAGTAAATCTGTATTAAGAAGGGATCATATTCCTTTGACTTTCTGTTTTGCCTTTAGAGACCTTTACAATGATTTCTTTGAGAGGCATCTTCTTCACAATTATTATGAACGGAAACTTGACAATGTTTCCAGTAACAGATGGGACTTCCTGTGACAATTATGACTCTGTTGCTGTTGTTGCTTAATATTACGCAGTGTTGCTTGTGTCTGGATCAATTCATCTGCTCTAATTTGAAAAAAAAGTGTTCTTTTTTGTTTTCTGGTACTCCCTGAGCATATCTTTTGCATCTTAGGACATGGTTTTTCAGACCTTTTCTGTTTTTGTCTTTCAAATAGTCATGGAATGTGCCATAAATAAGCCTGTTCATTCTTCAGGATGTGATGAAGTCTTTACAATCTATTGGAATACTGTCTTGGATCATCTCTCATTAAAGTCACATCTTTTGCTCTGATGTGATACCTCTACAAGTGAATATCTGACAACCCCTCAACAGAAGGTCACATCCGAGACCTGAGCAAACTTTGTCTCCCGTGATGAATGCATGGAATCCTGAGCCTTTATGTCAGTTACAAAATGGTTCTGCTTTTGTTCCTCAGTTAGGATATTTTCTTTCACAAAAATAGAATCCACTCAGGACGCAAATATTAATTTGATACTATGCCCTTATGGTCTTTTTCAGAGACAAGTGTATAGCATACTTAGAATAATGTTAAGGCACAGCCCTTATTATTTACATCTGGTAATGCTCATTTGTGAGACACTGAAATCAGATGTACTGGGCTTAATGTTTTGCTCACTTGAACTACCTTTTAGAAGCCTCGACACTGACTGGTTAGGAAGTTCAGCTGATGCGAGCTACCACTTTTGGGAATACTGTCATATCCTTCACACAGTGTTGTATTGGAGGGAAAGATCTGATCGTAATGAATGTGTGTGGAACTTTTGTCTGCAGGTCATGACAATGTTGGCCGTTATGTTCCTGTATGGAACATGTTCATTATCAGAATCATGCCTATGTGGTATTATGCACTGCATCACACTCAGTGTGATGTCATTGTCCCAGTGGTATCAGTTGCTGTAGTTCAGTGTACAGAGTTGCATCCCTTAGTCAAGTCAGGATCTGCAGTTCCAGAGTTAAGATCACAGTTTAGGATCATAGTTTCGTCAGCCCCACAGCCATGCTGACAAGTTTCACCGAAATATTTACGAACGTTTACAACCTGTCATCATATCAGTCTTTCATCCGACCTCAAGCTGAAGTGCCATAAAAAAATGTTCAAATTTGGTTTTGGGTTCACCCATTCACTCATATCCGTCAGGGCTAAATAACATGGGAACAGAGGATCGTGGGTTAATATCCTGGTTTGCCCTGATTATGTTTCAGGATCTATCAGCCCCTTACCAATCTGTTAGGTTCACTTGTTCTGTAGGTAAACATTTGAGCATCACATCAGAGATTAGTCAGTTTGAACCCATCAACATATAATCAACGTCTTTTACAAATGATCATGTTTTCTGGACCATCATTTTGGCTTCAATAATCCATAATTAGGGCTGTGGCAATAAATTTTAAATTTCCAATATTGTGGTTGCCAACACCAGTGAGTGCAGTGGGTCATTGTGTTGAGATTGTTCTGTGGTACGGTGTTCTCTCCTGTTTTTTGTTTGTAAGGCTGATGCTTTTTTCTGACATGCCAGTTTCTGTTAGTTGTAGCTGCAATTTTTTCATGTAAGGTATCATTTATATTAGAAAAATTATAATGGCGTTATAATCATTTGCAAATCATTTCTTTTCTTGGTGCAGCTCATTCTTTATTCAGTCCTTTAACATGGAACCCAAAATGTGCCTCTCCAGTGTTGGTGTTTCTATGAAGTCACCGACCAGGGTTACCTCCCTTTCACAGCACATTGTAACAAGGTGCGTGTTGGTATCCTTTGACGTCAGACCAAACAAAATTTAAAATTTCCAAACTTCTGTTGATAATCTTTCTTTGGAGGTTACAACATACAATTACACTGAGAGCGTGGCAGGGAATGAGAGTCTTGCAGCAGATCAAGGGTAGTTTAACATGGCTCCTCAGGGCAGGATTGAACAGTTTAGAGCTTGTACGTATGCAATTTGAAGCTGCAAAATGCAACCTCATAATTATACTAAATTGCACCCAGTGCATGTAAATATTTTGCTGTTCAAAGAACGAGGCTTCATCTGGAAAACAGAATGACGAGGAACTGGCTTGGAATGGTGAATGACTTAATGGACAATAACTGAATGATGGTTACTGCTCAGGTCATGAAATTTTAATGAAGTAAGACAAAATAATCTTATCGGATTAAGTAGGTTTCATTTCCCTGACTCTAGCTGTGAGTTGTCTAAGAATGATATGTAGATATGTAAAAGTAGGGACAACCTTCTGAAGTTTGTGCAGCTTTTAGATGTAAGGAAAAGGGAAGACTAAAGGGAGGTTACTCTGTTTCATGTCGTTTGGAGAGTGTGAATAGGTGTTCTGCTGGAGAGGCCTATTTTGGGTTTTGTCATAGGATCAAAGGTAGAAGGAAATTGCACAATATCATATTAAGACAGATATACTGATGCCATAAATACACTTATCCTTTGTTTTTACCAAAGGGTTTGCTTCATAGTTTTTTAGCTTTCCAAAATGAAATATACATCTATACAAAAATATATTTCATGTAGAATAGTAAAATGATGCGCCTTCCCACCAGATAAGACCATTTATACGACTGCTTGTATGAATAACCACAATAATCTATATCCTCATGTTATGGGTTTTCGGACGTTGACAAACATTTGTTGTTTTCTCTGTTATTGCATGAAAATTGTGAAACATGTCACCACTATTTACAATGTCTGTGAGTATGCACTGCCGCCTGAAAACATAAGATGTCCGAAAACACATAATCCGACGATAATAGTAACTTGTTCAGTCATGTGGACTGAACGTTTAGTTGAATCCCTCCTTACGTTAACATACCAGTACTGTGTTGATTTGTTGCAGACATTTCACCTGTATAGAAATGTCTTGCCACCCCCAATCTGTGTCTTGTTTTGTTGTTGAAAAATCTGTACAATGTATAAAGTTTTGTTATTATTATTTGTAAATATTGTATTTTGAGATTGATATCCCGAGTCTTAGTGGTCCACTCCCTGAGTACTTTATAAACTTCCATTATTTATACTGTTTGTACACAGATAAGGCTATGCTTGCAGCATACCACTTAGCTCCCTACACCCTTGTGCTACGTCCTAACAAAGATGATTTTTTGCTAAAATGTTAGAAATTTGGTTCTCAGGTCACAACTTTTTCAGAATGTGCAGATTATTTGGGAAACATTTACTTCTTAGCAAACTGCTTCCTCACCACGGTTCCTAGTGTAATGTATTAGGTTTCTTTTTGGGGTTTGTTTTTTGCTCTATTAGCACAAACTTGTCTTTCTGAGAATCTTTCAGTAGAATTTAGTCTTAGAATTTACACCATTAGTACATTGTGGGATGTGATTATGCTAGGAATGAAGAGTACGCAAGCAGTGAAGTATTTTGATGATGCACTAGCTCAGCTTACTAAACCAACCAAATTTGGGCTTCTGAACTAAATTTAGTTTATAACTTTGTGTGGATGAGTGGGGTGTCAAGATACGAATAAACTATATACTGATCTTGCTATGGTCATTAGCTAATGAAAGGAACCTGGCAACCAAATTTTCTATTTTTAGCTGTAAGTAGTTACGCAAAATGTATCTTGATATAGGCAATATCCGGTGTTTCCTCTATGGAGTAACTACACAACATTGATAATCTGCACATGAAAAACAATCTGGCTAATCAAACCATCAACATACATTTGTTTGATGAATATGTTAGAAGCATTGGTCTGGTCATATTTGAAAATAAAATCAGAATTTTATCATAACCCATATGTTTCTTGTGTTTTTTATTGCTTTTCTTCTCATTTGTATTTCATTATGGACATGGGAACCTGCAACTGTTGCCTACACTTAAATTTGTAACTGAATCATATCTGTTCAAAACAGTGGAGGATATACTGAGAACAACGCTTCTGTAGGGATCACTCACTACATGAGGTTGCGGAGGTCATGCACGACCCTTTGTCTGCAGAGGTCACACACCACCCTTTGTCTGCAGAGGTCACTTGCCACCCTTTGTCTGCAGATGTCACTTGCCACCCTTTGTCTGCAGAGGTCACACAACACCCTGGGTCTGCAGAGGTCATACACCACCCTATGTCTGCAGTGGTCACACACCACACTTTGTCTGCAGAGGTCACTTGCCACCCTTTGTCTTGAAAGGTCACACACCACCCTTTGTCTGCAGAGGTCACACAACACCCTTTGTCTGCAGAGGCCCCACATCACCCTTTGTCTGCAGAGGTCACACACAACTGACTGCAGAGGTCATACACCACCCTTTGTCTGCAGAAGTCACAAACTACTCTGGGTCTGCAGAGGTCACACACCACCATGTGTCTACAGAGGTCACACACACCACCATGTGTCTACAGAGGTCACACACCACCCTTTGTCTGCAGAGGTTGCACACTACCCTTTGCAGAGGTCAGATGTCACCCTTCGCTGCAGAGGTCACTTGCCACCCTTTGTCTGCAGAGGTCACACACCACCCTTTGTCTGCAGAGGTCACACACCACCCTTTGTCTGCAGAGGTCACACACCACCATTTGACTGCAGAGGTCACACACCACCATTTGTCTGCAGATGTCACACACCACACCCTTGTCTGGAGAGGTCACACAATAGTCTTTGTCTGCAGAGGTCACACACCACCCTTTTTCTGCAGAGGTCTGGAGAGGTCACACACCACCCTTTGTCTGCAGAGGTCACACACCACCCTTTTGTCTGCAGAGGTCACACACCACCGCTTTGTCTGCAGAGGTCACACACACACACACCACCCACCTTTGTCTGCAGAGGTCACACACCACCGCTTGTCTGCAGAGGTCACACACCATGCGCTTTGACTGGAGAGGTCACACACCACCCTTTGTCTGCAGAGGTCACACACCACCCTTTGTCTGCAGAGGTCACACACCACCGTTTGTCTGCAGAGGTCACACACCACCCTTTGTCTGCAGAGGTCACACACCACCCTTTGTCTGCAGAGGTCACACACCACCGTTTGACTGCAGAGGTCACACACCACCCTTTGTCTGCAGAGGTCACACACCACCGCTTGACTGGAGAGGTCACACACCCTTTTGTCTGCAGAGGTCACACACCACCGCCTGACTGGAGAGGTCACACACCACCGCTTTGACTGGAGAGGTCACACCCTTTGACTGGAGAAGTCACACACTTGCCTCTGCAGAGGTCACACACCACCGCTTGACTGAGAGGTCACACACCACCAGTTTGACTGGAGAGGTCACACACCACCCTTTGTCTGCAGAGGTCACACACCACCCTTCGACTGCAGAGGTCACACACCACCATTTGACTGGAGAGGTCACACACCACCCTTTGTCTGCAGAGGTCACACACCACCCTTCGTCTGCAGAGGTCACACACCACCGTTTGACTGCAGAGGTCACATGCCACCCTTTGAATAGGTCACACACCACCGTTTGACTGGAGAGGTCACATACCACCCTTTGTCTGCAGAGGTCACACACCACCATTTGACTGGAGAGGTCACACACCACCCTTCGTCTGCAGAGGTCACACACCACCGTTTGACTGCAGAGGTCATACACCACCCTTTGAATAGGTCACACACTACCGTTTCACTTGAGAGGTCACAAACCACCCTTGTCTGCAGAGGTCACACACCACCCTTGTCTGCAGAGGTCACACACCACCCTCGTCTGCAGAAGTCACACACTACTCTAGGTATACAGAGAGCATCCACTATCCTGTCTACAGAGATAGCACAGTGTGCTAGGTTGCAGAGATTGCATGCTTGCTGGGCCTACAGTTTAACCTAAGTCAGCAAAGGTGTCAAACAAGGTATACAGACAGCATCCACTACCCTAGCTCTGCAAAACCACATGCTCACCTTCGTCTGCAGTCAGCATTAACAACATAAGACGAACGCTGATCAAACTCTATCCAGAGAGTGTTGACAAAAGTAGACCTATCCACATCACCCACTCTCCTATGTCAGTGGAGAGCTTTGACAAGACTAGATCTGCACAGATAACACTGTCCTGTGGTAAGCTGAGCCTGTCTCTCCCTGTCACTGTTTGGTATCATATGTAAATGTATAGCTTGGCCCTGGTGCAGGGTTGTCTGCCCAGCTGCTGCTTTGGGGTCATCCATCTGGTATATTGTGGTTTTGAGCTGCATTATTTTCACCGGATTTTGTTTATCTTATATTTGCTTGGACTAATCTAAGTTTAAACAGAACAGATTTATTTCCTGAAAATACAACATAAAATCATTCTATATTAAGATAATGAAAACAAAGCAAGGTTCGATTAAATGAACAAAAACACCAGTAAAAACTGACAGTTACATGAGACACAAAACTGGGAATCGAACCCTAACTGACTGACAAACCGATAATGCAAAGCCTGGGACAAACAAGGGCGGACAACTCTCGACGCCGCCTTCACAAGCGGAAGTGGGATTTGTTTATAAAGAAAGGTGTTTACGAGTTGTCATGTGAACCCACTTTATACCGCTGTCCGTGCTGGGGAACATGTGCAGACGACATGCAGTGGCGATAATGGAAGCACAGATTTGGCTACAAGAGAAAGATCGCCTCCAGAGTTAACCCGCGGGGCACGTGGGACGATTATGCACGTAATTGACTTAGGAAGAACGCTATTGCCCCAACTCAATCTACAATTCCCACTGAAAAAGCACTCTGTGAACGAAATCTATCACGTCTAGACGTTTCTTGGACAATATACGCTCTCGGGGAACAAAGTTTGTTTTGCATGTGATCGGCACCTCGGACAATGACCTTTGTATGAGATAAAGGATCCGCGTCACGTCGATAACCAGTGGACCATCACCTGTCGTTGGTTTGGAACCACCGTGTGTTGTCATTGATACCAGCCCAAGAGTAGCAGGAGCAGTGCTGTGTGATTCCTCGACAGGACATTTACAGAAAGATTATCAACTGAACAATGACAATGGGCAGATCAAGTTCAGACACTGTTAAAAACAGACTTTCCTCCACGTCTTCCCACCAGAAAGATGCATATAGTATCCTGGATATTGAGATCGACCAGGGTATGCCCCAGACTTGCAGTTCTGGCCTCTGTGATATCAGTTCTAAAGACATTCCATTGTACAAGTACAACGAAATACCAGACTTCCTTCAAGGGAATCCATTTGTTGTCGAAGGTTACAGAGTGTCCCTTCCATTCAGTCTGTGTCTGAAGAGGTAATATATTATTCCCTGATTTTGAAATAACATGTTTGTTTTAATCTGTATTTTAAAACAGTTTTGTCGGAAAATATTTTCTCCTGCTTCATGTCATACCTGTGTTTTAGGTAAATGTATAATTACAAGGGTGGGAAGTCAGATGACACATGATGATGAACTGCCTTCCTTCTTAATGTCTTTTGATGTGTTAAAACTTTTGGTATGTGACAGAATATATAGTAGAGGTTGAATATATTGCACACATTTGTATCAACTCTAAATAACAAAATGGGATATTCTGCATGTGAATAATGATTTATCTTTTAAGAGATTATTTGATAAGTGACCGTTCATAATTTATGGCTTTTTTTTTTCTTTTTTGTTTTTCTTTTTGGGGGTGGGGGTGGGGTGGTGGAAAGGAGAAGAGGAGAATGATGTTTTTTGGGGGGCACTAATTTTGTTCTGGGAGCTGGGGTTCATAAATTTTGTACACATGTACTAGGGGTGGTGGTAATCAATTTTGTACATGAAAATATTTTAAAATTATGCTTGGGGATTGATTTTTTACATGACATGCAGGGGGGTCACTCATTTTGTACATAAATTTTAGGGGAGGTCATTCACCTTGTACATGCTTCTCCATAAAAATCATCATCATCAAATGTAATTTGTGCAGTTTCTAAATAAAGCAAAAACAACAACAGAGAACCAAATGTTTTTTCATTATACTTATCTGCAACTATAAACTGAATAGGAAAATCTAAAAAATGACGCTAACCAATTTTTTTCGATGAATGGTCATTTGTATCGAACCAATCATCAATTGTGAGATTTCAACCAATTCCCAACTATAGTGCCAGTGACTATTACTTTGATGTTTTATTTTTAATTATATCAGTACATCATCCATACTAAGAACTTAGCGGTACATTGCATTGGCGGATCCAGAGGTGGGGTTCGAACCCTTCCCTTTTGAAAATGACTTAAGACCACATTGAAGTTAATGTTTTGCATTGGCAGAGCCGGGGAGGGGTTCAGTGGGTTCGAACCCCCTGAAATCCCCCCACCCCATCCCTTTGAAAAGTCATGGATCCGCCTCTGCATTGATATTCTCCGAAATCAGTATTCTTTTTTCCGCCTAATATGAAAACCTTTCTCTGCCATACAGACCCTGAAACAATTATGCCCCATTTCAGCCCATGCAAGTCTAGAATATGTGTCAGGAATAGATTACCACTGATTCAATAAGATAGTGTGTGGGATTCTTTTTACCATATTTAATTAATATAGTTCAGGAACCATTTTAAAATGTGTTCATTTCAGAGACTAGATGTTAGTCTATGAAAACAAGTGTTTTGCCTGATGCCTTTGTCACAGAAAGGCAATATAATACAATAAGTCAACACAACACACAAGTGGAAATAGCAAATACCAAATTGGTTCTTACAAATACAGAGGTAAACCCTGCGCAGTTAACAATACTGTATGTCATATATGTGAGCTACTAATTAAGATTTAATGAACTGCTTTCAGTGTATAGCAGGAGGTCGTTATTTGCTGTGTCAGCTGTGGTTTCAATGAGCATTAACGATGCTTCTGTTCAATGATTCAGTGGTATGTCAGAATAGCAATACTGAACTTGTAATTGGTTGTATTGATTAATGTGTTACAGACGGTTGTATCAGTAATAAACATTAACAGGAAGAGTGATGTCAAAATTAACATTGCAATAGATATATTGTGGAATAATGCTATTCCTAGGTCATAAGACTAAACCTGATTTAATAGAAGAAAATAACACAGGCTCAGACGTCACCTTCTGATTTTATGAAACAAAATCAAACTTTTCCAAAGGGGAGGTACCTAAAAATAAACAGCTCCCTCAAATAATCCAAAGCCAAAGCAACGTAAAACACAACTTTGCAGATTCTGATACCTTTCGGTATGGACTTACCGAAACAAAGCGTCAAAAATGCAAATTCAACTTATAAAGTTGAAAAATAACGCGATGAAAAAAAACGCGCGAAATCGGAGTTCAAACGTTTCACTAATTTTCCCCAGACTTTTCTGGGGAATACGGGTTTCAACAGCTGGGCTCGCTCATACCATGTCGCGCAGTGAAATAGGTTCGCGCAACTTGGGCGGGCTGTCTGGTGAATACTTTCGGTGAAGGCTTTGGTGTGAGCTATTTTCATAATGTTTTGTTGATATCTCACAGTAGAGCTTTTTATATGTTATGACAGTAAATAAACTGTTTATATAATTTCATTTGTCTATTTCACCACCGTTCTTCTTACCGAGTCACTTTCTCAGTTCGATGCTTAAAAGCAATGTCATTATTTAAGCGTTGACACAATTTCTAACTGTGATATAGATATGTAGCTGTCACAGACAAAACTCAATGTCTTGTTTATTGACACCTGTGTGTCTGCCTGCCTGTCTGCTAATGACAATATTCAATACACAACTGCGATCACTGACCACATGCAATTTGAACTTAACACCAATCAGGCTATACACCATAAACAAAAGCATTGATTTATGGCCCGAGTTAGGTCTCTGTCACATTATGTAATTACACAGACAGGCAGGTGTGATACTTGAACACATGACATGTTATGATGTCTGTTGATTGCAAAATGTTATACACAAAAATGAGCATGTATTTACAAAACCCAACATCTCTATATATACACACACAATGAGCGTGAAGGCGGCATCTGCTAATGAACCAGCCGTTACACTTGAGTGCACACCCACCCCCTCTGACTGGGTTCGGTATCCCGGCTGCTTCGTTTCTTGGGAGGTAAACCCAAGTACAAAATATTGCACTTTTGATTTGCGATTATACGCTTATAATTTTGTTTATTTGTTTTTTCATAATCAGCAATGCATATTATATGTCATGAAGAAGTGATAATTGTGTTTTAATTATGTTTGATTTTTTGGTTGCATGTGACCTTTAAACCCGGCAAAACCAAAACCCATAACCCCTCGAAATAATCCTAATAAATAGAATACATTTCAAGCGGGGGTTACGGGCAGAACTTTTACCCTTATGAGGACAAAACTATACAGCTTGAACAATTTGCAGTGTTATAAAGTCAATATATATATAACATATACACCTAACTCACCACTGTCTGGCAATGGGTTGGCAGCTGCATAACAGTCAATACTTAGTCACAGGATAACTGCCTTATCCTACAAATGGTAAACAAGGATGTCGAGTAAGCATCATGCCATAGACAATCAAATTAAAGGACATGTACAATAACCTTTCCACATGTAATCACTCAGTCTTACTCTACATGCTTAATGTATTCACACATGTAATTATATGATATCTAAGCAGTGATTTATTGTTAGCTTTGAATATAGATTTAGTTAAGAATGAATGATATAACTTCATGAATTGAAAGACAAGTTCTACTAGTTTCAAAGTTGGTCGAATATCTAAACCAGGGATTTACAGGACGTGAATTCCTGCGTCATATACACATAAAAATTGATAATGGACGCAACAAAATTTAATAGCCCATCCACAGAGACGCAGAGAAAGTCAATGAAGTAACAATAAGTTATCTATGTAATCACTCAGTCTTACTCTACATGCATAATGTATTCACACATGTAATTATATGATATCTAAGCAGTGATTTATTGTTAGCTTTGAATATAGATTTAGTTAAGAATGAATGATATAACTTCATGAATTGAAAGACAAGTTCTACTAGTTTCAAAGTTGGTCGAATATCTAAACCAGGGATTTACAGGACGTGAATTCCTGCGTCATATACACATAAAAATTGATAATGGACGCAACAAAATTTAATAGCCCATCCACAGAGACATGAGAGAAAGTCAATGAAGTAACAATAAGTTATCTATGTAATCACTCAGTCTTACTCTACATGCATAATGTATTCACACATGTAATTATATGATATCTAAGCAGTGATTTATTGTTAGCTTTGAATATAGATTTAGTTAAGAATGAATGATATAACTTCATGAATTGAAAGACAAGTTCTACTAGTTTCAAAGTTGGTCGAATATCTAAACCAGGGATTTACAGGACGTGAATTCCTGCGTCATATACACATAAAAATTGATAATGGACGCAACAAAATTTAATAGCCCATCCACAGAGACGCAGAAAAAGTCAATGAAGTAACAATAAGTTATCTCTGAGTTTGGTACTAGCAGGGTTATGGTGTCATTTGCAATTTATTTACGGTAACAATGTGATAATCATGATACACAATATATTAAAAGTAACTGAATTACAACAATATTACAACATAGTATTAATAATAATATTTCAGTCTCTGGGACCCCCATTTTGTAGTCCAGGGCCTCGTTTCACAAAGCTCTCGTAAGACTAAGATCTCGTAACTTTTCTCGTAGCATTCGTACCTCCCATACTGTAACATTGACTTACGATAGTCTTACGCGCTACGAGAGCTTTGTGAAACGGGGCCCAGGACCCTTGAAATCTAAGAGTATTGAGTCCCCGGAACCCTCAAATACAGGACTCAAGGAAAATCCCTGCTAAACATATTAATATACTTGTATACCATTTGTGAACGACTAGTTTATAACACACTTATTTGCAAGTTAATTTGTAAGTTAACCACAAAATATATGTTATCAATGCATTCCCCTTATTGTATCTAAATCATCACACACATATCTACAAGTACACATATATGAGTGACCTGTGACGATCTAGGTCAGAATTGGTCTTCAGCATAAGATCGTAAGTCATTAGATGCGAACAACAGGATCGGGTGGTCAGACTCATTGACTTGGTTGACACATGTCATCGTATCCTAATAACATTGAATGATGCTCATGAGTGTTGATCACTGGATTGTCTGGTAAAGACTCTATTATTTACAGACCGCCACTATGTAGCAGGAATATTGCCGAGCACAGTGGTAAACAACAGACAAACATAAATAAGTATGAACCAAACACTAACCTCACATATACAGAAATCCACACCTACTTTGTCCCCAAGATATCCACACCTACTTTGTCCCCAAGATATCCACACCTACTTTGTCCCCAAGAAATCCACACCTACTTTGTCCCCAAGATATCCACACCTACTTTGTCCCCAAGATATCCACACCTACTTTGTCCCCAAGATATCCACACCTAGAAACACCTCTTTGTCACACCTACTTTGTCCCCAAGAAATCCACACCTACTTTGTCCCCAAGATATCCACACCCTACTTTGTCCCCAAGAAATTTGTCCCCAAGATATCCACACCTACTTTGTCCCCAAGTCCCACACTTTGTCCCCAAGATATCCACACCTCCAAGATATCACACCTACTTTGTCCCCAAGAAATCCACACCTACTTTGTCCCCACTTTGTCCCCAAGAAATCCACCTACTTTGTCCCCAAGAAATCCACACCTACTTTGTCCCCCAACCTACCTACTTTGAAGATCCACACCTACTTTGTCCCCTCAAGAAATCCACACCTACTTTGTCCCCAAGAAATCCACACCTACTTTGTCCCCAAGATATCCACACCTACTTTGTCCCCAAGATATCCACACCTACTTTGTCCCCAAGAAATCCACACCTACTTTGTCCCCAAGAAATCCACACCTACTTTGTCCCCAAGATATCCACACCTACTTTTGTCCCCTCAAGAAATCTTTTGTCCCCAAGAAATATCCACACCCTACTTTGTCCCCAAGATATCCACACCTACTTTGTCCCCAAGAAATCCACACCTACTTTGTCCCCAAGATATCCACACCTACTTTGTCCCCAAGAAATCCACACCTACTTTGTCCCCAAGAAATTTGTCCCCAAGAATCTCCCTTTGTCCCCAAGAAATCCACACCTAAGTCCCCAAGAAATCCACACCTACCTTGTCCCCAAGATATCCACACCTACTTTGTCCCCAAGATATCCACACTACTACTTTGTCCCCTTTGTCCCCAAGAAATCCACACCTACTTTGTCCCCAAGAAATCCACACCTACTTTGTCCCCAAGATATCCACACCTACTTTGTCCCCAAGATCCACACCTACTACACCTACTTTGTCCCCAAGATATCCACACCTACTTTGTCCCTCAAAGAAATCCACACCTTTTGTCCCCAAGATATCCACACCTACTTTGTCCCCAAGATCCATCCACCACCTACTTTGTCCCCAAGAAATCCATACCACACCTACTTTGTCCCCAAGATATCCACACCTACCACACCTACTTTGTCCCCAAGATAAATCCACACCTACTTTGTCCCCAAGAAATCCACACCTACTTTGTCCCCAAGAAATCCACACCTACTTTGTCCCCAAGAAATCCACACCTACTTTGTCCCCAAGAAATCCACACCTACTTTGTCCCCAAGAAATGCAAAACTATTTGCTAAGCCACACCTACTTTGTCCCCAAGTACTACTTTTTGAATGATATGGACACAGCCGACTGGTATCCAAGGTTGTATCTGACCAACTGCTTGATCAAACAAAGCTGATCTGTAGGAAAGTGGACTTACATAATAACAAGATATAAAAGGACAAACAAAGCAATGTGCTTGGCATTAGAGTGAAAATGGCTGTTGTCAAGTTAGTAGTTATATAAGTGCTGGGGTGAATCCATGTTACTTTCTGTGTACTGTTCAAGTGATATAGCTTGAAACAGGCACTTGCTGAGACAGAAACTAGACAATTGAAATATCATGCTATAATATGTACAAACCAGTCATAAAATCGTTTCTGAATATCCATGTGCATATTGTGAATCATAACGCGTAGTTAAGCAAGGGTTCAATATTTGTACATATTCACCTGTAACTGTATGTTTGTCTGTGTATGTGTGGTTTCATACAATAGACATCGTCACAAGATATTGTGGTCAAAAGATACATTTTACAGTGTTTCCGTTCTTCAGTATATACCTGAAAATCGCCAGTAAAATTCATAGGGGACCAGTAAATTGAAAGCCAGACAGACACTGTGTCTGGTAAATAATCATGTATTAAAATAAAAAAAATCATGGGTAAGCAAAATCAGAGTCTTGGCTTTGATTTCATGGTCGCAAAAATTGTTATGTTTCGGAAATACCCAGGCTAAAAATAACTTTAAATTGAGTACTTACAGTATGGTAATAGGATATGACCGGCAAATTTAATTCATGACCGGTAAAATTTTAGGTCGCCAGACAGTGTCCGATAAATAATTAAGTCAGTGGAAACACTGCATTTTCAAAGTCAATAGCCTAGTATGTGCTCCGTAATAATCCTCCTTTTCTTTCCCAGCTTGTTCCTCTGGAGCAATGAGACAATCAACATCTGGTCACATCTACTTGGGTTCTTCATATTCCTGCTGCTGATGCTCTACGACAACATCATCGTCATTCCCTCCTACAGAGGCACCCTCTCAGACCACATTGTTGTCACTGTGGGCCTTCTCTGCTATCAGGTGCTCAACATCGTCTTGCTGGCAAATACCAACTAGATTCATTTTAAAGAGAGACCACAATTCTTTTAGAAAACAACCCATCTTCTGACTGTTTACAGTTATCAGTCTTCAGTTTGTCCCTATACACTGTCTCTATGAATACAGGCCTGTGACCTCCTCTTTGTGATGCAGTAGATATGTGTGTCTGATTTCAAGCTTTGTAATTTAGTAGCTGTAGTAATCTGAAAGACCTGTGAAGATCGGGTTAGAATTGGTATTCTGTAACCCATGTTTGTCGTAAGAGCCAACTAACAGGATCAGGGTGGTCAGGCTTGCTGGCTTGGTTGACACATGTCATAGTATCCCAACTGCGTAGTTCAATGCTCATGCTGTTGATCACTGGATTGTCTGGTCCAGACTTGATTATTTACAGACTGATGTCATATAGCTAAAATATTGCTGAGTGCGGTATTTAACAACAAGCCAACCAAACCAAATAATTTGTATTTATAACCTAACATAACCATGTGTCTTGTGTGTTGTAGTTCTGTATGCTGTGTTCCACGGGCTTCCATGTGTTCTGCTGCCACTCAGCCCGCGCCAGCAAGAGGTGGTTGGCGGTCGACCTGACCGGGATATCCGTTGGCATTATCGGCTGTTATCTACCAGCTGTACATTATGCATTCTATTGTTTGTCTGTAAGTAGTCCCCACTGTGTAGAGTTATCAGACTGTGTCTACCTAGTTAGTTGAGATTATAGATCATAAGTGATCTCAGTCAGTTGGTCATGTTGGGTGAGTGCTTGTGGAAAGTTGATTAGTTAATGTAGAGTACAGATGAACTCATTTAGACATGTATGGAAGGGTTGTAGAGCGTTGATGAACTCATGTAGAGTGACATAGATGGAGTGATTGTAGGGGATTGATTCAACACCACTAGAAGTGTATGTAGGGGGATGAATCAACACCACTTGAACTGTATGTAAAGGGTTGAATGAACACCACTAGAAGTGTATGTAGGGGGTTGATTCAACACCACTTGAACTGTATGTAAAGGGTTGAATGAACACCACTTGAACTGTATGTCAAGGGTTGAATGAACACCACTAGAAGTGTATGTAAGGGGTTCAATGAACACCACTAGAAGTGTATGTAAAGGGTTGAATGAACACCACTTGAACTGTATGTAAAGGGTTGAATGAACGCCACTTGAACTGTATGTAAAGGGTTGAATGAACACCACTAGAACTGTATGTAAAGGGTTGAATGAACACCACTAGAACTGTATGTAAAAGGTTGAATGAACACCACTTGAACTGTATGTAAGGGGTTGAATGAACACCACTAGAAATGTATGTAGGGGGTTGAATCAACACCACTTGAACTGTATGTAAAGGGTTGAATGAACACCACTAGAAGTGTATGTAGGGGGATGAATGAACACCACTTGAACTGTATGTAAAGGGTTGTATGTACACCACTTGAACTGTATGTAAAGGGTTGTATGTACACCACTTGAACTGTATGTAAAGGGTTATGTATGTACACCACTAGAAGTGTATGTAAAGGGTTGAATGAACACCACTAGAAGTGTATGTAAAGGGTTGAATGAACACCACTTGAACTGTATGTAAAGGGTTGAATGAACACCACTAGAACTGTATGTAAAGGGTTGAATGAACACCACTTGAACTGTATGTAAAGGGTTGAAGTGTATGTAAAGGGTTGAATGAACACCACTTGAACTGTATGTAAAGGGTTGAATGAACACCACTTGAACTGTATGTAAAGGGTTGAATGAACACCACTAGAACTGTATGTAAAGGGTTGAATGAACACCACTTGAACTGTATGTAAAGGGTTGAATGAACACCACTTGAACTGTATGTAAAGGGTTGAATGAACACCACTAGAACTGTATGTAAAGGGTTGAATGAACACCACTAGAACTGTATGTAAAGGGTTGAATGAACACCACTTGAACTGTATGTCAAGGGTTGAATGTACACCACTAGAACTGTATGTAAAGGGTTGTATGTACACCACTTGAACTGTATGTAAAGGGTTGAATGTACACCACTAGAACTGTATGTAAAGGGTTGAATGTGCACCACTAGAACTGTATGTAAAGGGTTGTATGTACACCACTTGAACTGTATGTAAAGGGTTGAATGTACACCACTAGAAGTGTATGTAAAGGGTTGTATGTACACCACTTGAACTGTATGTAAAGGGTTGTATGTACACCACTAGAACTGTATGTAAAGGGTTGAATGAACACCACTAGAAGTGTATGTAGGGGGTTGAATGTACACCACTTGAACTGTATGTAAAGGGTTGTATGTACACCACTTGAACTGTATGTAAAGTGTTGAATGAACACCACTAGAAGTGTATGTAGGAGGTTGAATGTACATCACTAGAAGTGTATGTAAAGGGTTATATGTACACCACTTGAACTGTATGTAAAGGGTTGAATGAACACCACTTGAACTGTATGTAAAGGGTTGAATGAACACCACTAGAAGTGTATGTAGGGGGTTGAATGTACACCACTAGAATTGTATGTAAAGGGTTATATGTACACCACTTGAACTGTATGTAAAGGGTTGAATGAACACCACTAGAACTGTATGTAAAGGGTTGAATGTACACCACTTGAACTGTATGTAAAGGGTTGAATGTACACCACTTGAACTGTATGTAAGGGGTTGAATGAACACCACTAGAACTGTATGTAGGGGGTTGAATGTACACCACTAGAAGTGTATGTAAAGGGTTATATGTACACCACTTGAACTGTATGTAAAGGGTTGAATGAACACCACTTGAACTGTATGTAAAGGGTTGAATGTACACCACTAGAACTGTATGTAAAGGGTTGAATGTACACCACTTGAACTGTATGTAAAGGGTTGAATGTACACCACTAGAACTGTATGTAAAGGGTTGAATGAACACCACTAGAAGTGTATGTAAAGGGTTGAATGTACACCACTAGAACTGTATGTAAAGGGTTGAATGAACACCACAAGAAGTGTATGTAGGGGTTGAATGTACACCACTAGAACTGTATGTAAAGGGTTGAATGTACACCACTAGAACTGTATGTAAAGGGTTGAATGAACACCACTAGAAGTGTATGTACACACCACTAGAAGTGTATGTAAAGGGTTGTATGTACACCACTAAAACTGTATGTAAAGGGTTGAATGTACACCACTAGAACTGTATGTAAAGGGTTGAATGAACACCACTAGAAGTGTATGTAGGGGTTGAATGAACACCACTAGAAGTGTATGTAAAGGGTTGAATGAACACCACTAGAAGTGTATGTAAAGGGTTGTATGTACACCACTTGAACTGTATGTAAAGGGTTGAATGTACACCACTAGAACTGTATGTCAAGGGTTGAATGAACACCACTAGAAGTGTATGTAGTGTATTTATCAAGGCAGGATGTACTGACAGGAGTATATAGGTTACTGGAGTAGAATGACGTGGACAGTGCACAGTGACAACAGTTCACCTGATTTAGTAGGACAATAACATGATAACATGTAGATATAGACCATCAGTAAATATAGGGCAAAAGTAACTGATCATATCAATTCAGTGACAACTGGAAACTGATAAAGTTACAATGATATAGACCATATGGCTTTATCAGCTGATCAATCTTGAGTGAGTGAGTATGGTTTTATGCCACTTTGAGCAGTATTCAAGCAATACCATGGCGGTTGACACCAGAAATGGTCTTCACATATTGTACCCATGTGGGGAATCGTACCGGGATCTTCGGCGTGACAAGCGACCACTTTAACCATGGAGTTACCCCACGGCCCCTGATGAGTCTCTAAAATGTCTTCACTGCAAACTACTTGTCACTGACAGCTATTTACATCTGCTATTTTCTTTGAAAAGGGTTAACACCTAAGTTTTCTTTCATTTCCTACAGATATGGAATTGCAATAACATAATATTTTATCATAAGTTGTCTAAATTACACAATATTTCAAAAAATGCAAATCTATAATTTTATAAACATGATAAATGAAACACAAACTTTGTACTCAAAGAAACTCATAGAAATGCACAGAAATTTTGTTTTGATTTTATTTTAGCTCATTGAAGGGCATTTAGAAGTGATGAAGTTTGAGGCAAACATTTGTTTTATTTCAACTTCTTATGGTGGTGTTATCTAGTCATCATCTCCATTAAACAAGACGGTCCCGAACTACAAGCGTTCATAGCGCTATGACATTCGTAAGCTTATGGTAAATTATAGATATGACAGGTTGTAACTTTATGAACTGATTGTGGATTGGGATCCAGTTGGCGTTCAATCATCAGATACAATTCGAATCATTTTGAGTTCAGCACCTGAAGACCATTACAGTGTAAAAGTAAGTGGATTAAAACAAATTGGTGAGAAATAGGAATTTTGGGAGGTTGAGAGGCTGATATGTTGTGTTTACAGATATGACAGGATCAGAATATTTGAGGGATGGCGAGATATTCATATGATCCTAATTTTCAGATATCCTGGGATATTTATGTGATTATTATTTTCAGATATGGAGGGACATATATCTGATCATAATCACTTTGCTGGCTGTTGGGACGATCTGTGTTCAGCTCCATCCTCGCTACTTTTCCCACGCCTGGTTTTACCCCCGTATGGCCATCTACTTCTTCCTTGCTGCATATGGAGTCATTCCCACAATCCACTGGGTCTACCTCAGTGGCGGCCTTGGAACCAAGGTCGTGCAGGTCAGTGTCAAGGTCGGATACCACAAAAATTGTATAAGACCAAATCAATTATTTATTTACTTGGTCTAGTAATCTGATGACTCATAAATATTGAGGTGTGAAAAATATACAAGTGAAACACAATTTTTGGAGAGTTCTGAAGTTTGAAACTATATCTGACAGTAGGTGTGATAAGCAAAACTCCAATGAAAACATGTTCCCTGAGCATCGGGAGATAAATCTGTAACAATCTGTGTCGTTAGTGAGGTTGTCGTTGTTTCAGCTCTTTGTGCCAAAGGTCATCACGATGTATGTGTTGGGAGCATCAGCGTTCTGCTTCTTCCTGTCAAAGTTTCCGGAACGAATGTTTCCAGGTAAGAATCTTATGCCTAATATTAACTGGTGAAGGGCGTTGAGGTAGGTATCAACGATCATCTGATGCTTTATCCTTCCCTGCTAAGCACTTCACTAAAGGCTCAGGGCATGGGTGCCTGTCCTTTGTCTGAATGAAATTAATGAATTTGAGTTAGCACATCCGTACAAGTTTCATCAGTTGACTTGTATTATCAAGTGCAATTGTATTCCAGACTGTCATGCATTAAGCATTGTATCACTCAAATACAACTTTTACTCCCAGTCTTTCTGGCTCCATCATAAGTCAAACATTGTATCAACAAAGTCAATCGTGCACTCACAGATACTCACAGATCGAATATTGTAGCACCAAAGTCAATTTTGAACATCAAATCTATTGTAAGTCAAGCATTGTATCAACAAAGTCAGATGTTTGGGTAATAAATTTGCTTGGAGTTGTCAAAACAGAGATAAAGAATATGTTTGTAAATCTCCATATATTTTGCTCACTTTACTGAAACAGTCGAATTAGTAACTGAATCTTACAGTAGAGTCTGAAAGGTCCAGAGGTAAGTCCAGCTTCTTATCAAACTGATACAATCTGCACGACGATCTCCCTCATTGACCCAGCTGCTTATCAGGCTTTTTGTTCTTTATTTCAGGCATATTTGATTTCCTTGGTTCAAGTCACCAGTGGTGGCATTGCATTGTAGTGTGTGCGTATCTGTGGTGGCACCACTCAGGCCAGGATATAATGCTGTATAGGACTACACATGAGTGCTCAGTCTGACCTTCACCTTCACCTTGAACCTTTGAACCTTGACCTTCAAGAGTCCAACCAATCCCCTTGCTTGATACAGACAGCTGCATAACATCTTCATCAGTTACATGCATAATAAGGGCATATACACTTTTATGGTTGTTTTTAACACAATGTTTTATCAGGGATAGCTTTCCTAAAGTTGCATAATTGTTTTATCATCATAACCATCCTGTTTTTGTCTTTGTTTTATTGTGTTGTTTTTGTAAGAGTAAAATAGTTTTAGGTCGATTTTATAACTAAAGCTGTCATTGTGATATTACTGTAAATATATCAAGGTGATAGAATAGAAAATACAGTTTTGCATGTGTGTGAATGATTGGCACCATTGATGCTGTCTGATGGTAGTTTTGTATCACCTGGGCTACAATTAAGATGAACGTAGGCAAGCAATTAGCTGTAGATTTCAAAGAATCTCATTACTGCTTCTTCAGCTAGATAGATCTACCTGGTGGGTGTATATCATTAAATACAGGGGTTAACTCCCATACACCATTAATATGGTCCTTTGTAGGCACTGTACATGTACGTTTGGTCAAATAATGTTGCAGCATAAAACTCTACGCACTCACTCACCCAACCTAGCACCAAGCTTGGCTGATCAGAATCTGTTGTAAATCTTTGACAGGTGTAATGCACTGGTTCAGATGTATGGAATAAAGTAGCAATGTGCTCTCCCATGATGCCTCATCAAGGAGAGGAGACATGGGTGGCCCATTTAGGTGCTTCAACTCATCACAGAGAGTTGCCTCCCTTTGGTATGTCAGCATCCTCTGATTCTCCAATCACATCTTGGAAGGCAGAGGGGTATCCTGGTGGTTAAGGTGTTTGCTTGTCACGCCAAAGACCAGGTTCATTTCCCACATGGGTACAATGTGTAGCCCATTTCAGGACCCATTTCTGCCCTGCTATGATATAGCTGGAATATCACTGAAACTAGCATAAAACCCAACTCACTCTCTCAATCAAATGCCAGATTTGAATATGTGAGTTGATGCTCAACCAGTTCACACTGGTTTGCTTGGCCTAGATTATTTATGGGCTGCGGTGATAGAGCAGTAATATTGTAGATTGTGGTATAAAACATCATCCCCTCACTCACTCCACTCAGCCAGACAGTGTACTAAGAGGTGCTTGTTGTTTCAGGTTTGTTTGATTACATTGGGTCCAGTCATCAATGCTGGCATTCCCTCATTCTCTGTGCCTTTCTGTACTGGCACGAGACTGGCTGGGACTTTATTGTGTATCGGAGGTATATCTGTGAGGTCGTATCACATCCTTGACTATCAAGTGTATCATTGCTCTGTATGTATATATATATGGAATATATCGATTAACATCCTCGATAAACAAGGACATGGTAACCATGGTGACATGCTTGCAATCCTTGATTCTCAAGTGTATCAAGTGTATTATCATGTGTATAATTGCTCTGTATATATATGGAATATATGGATTAACATCCTCGATAAACAAGGACATGGTAACCATGGTGACATGCTTGCAATCCTTGATTCTCAAGTGTATCCTAGCTCCATTTGTTTTTGTAGCTGTGTAGAATCTATGGATATTTCACACTGGGTAAACAAGGATGTAGTAACCATGGTAACTCTGTGAGGAAAATTTGATTGAGTAAGGGCATCTTTGTGACTCACTGCTGTTTCCAGAAACATTCCTCGGGCTTCAGTTGGAATGGAGAATATTACTTTGATAAGTGCTTGCCAATGGGTTGTTTGTCGGCATGCAAAATTTAATATTGTAATATTGGGAGGTTGGAGGGGTGTGTGGTCGGAATTAAGGGTGGTCAATTTCATAAAACATATCTTTCTTTTATCTTTATTTCTATCAAGGCATTACATACATCCAGGGAGCCTGTTTTTCTGGAACACTCATTTTTAATCAAAATAAGACCAGTACCTTTAGACGCTGGTGATGCTGTGCAATCACCGATAACAAAAGTTTGTTGTGGATACAATTTTGATTATATGTTTTGTAATAAGCTGCTGCATGACAACCACATCACAACCACAGAGACATCAACCACGTACATAAGCTGATGAATGACAACCACATCACAACCACAGAGACATCAACCATGTCCACTGCTGCATGACAACCACATACATAAGCTGCTGCATGACAACCACATCACAACCACAGGGACATCAACCATGTACATAAGCTGCTGCATGACAACCACATCACAACCACAGAGACATCAACCATGTACATAAGCTGCTGCATGACAACCACATCACAACCACAGAGACATCAACCACGTACATGTGCTGCATGACAACCACATGACAACCACAGAGACACAACCATGTCGCATAAGCTGCTGCATGACAACCACATCACAACCACAGAGACATCAACCATGTCCATAAGCTGCTGCATGCATGACAACCACATCACAACCACAGAGACATCAACCATGTATATAAGCTGCTGCATGACAACATCACATCACAACCACAGAGACATCAACCACGTACATAAGCTGCTGCATGACAACCACATCACAACCACAGAGACATCAACCACGTACATAAGCTGCTGCATGACAACCACATCACAACCACAGAGACATCAACCACGTACATAAGCTGCTGCATGACAACCACATCACAACCACAGAGACATCAACCACGTACATAAGCTGCTGCATGACAACCACATCACAACCACAGAGACATCAACCACGTACATAAGCTGCTGCATGACAACCACATCACAACCACAGAGACATCAACCACGTTCATAAGCTGCTGCATGACAACCACATCAAAACCACAGGACATCAACCACGCATATAAGCTGCTGCATGACAACCACATCACAACCACAGAGACATCAACCATGTCCATAAGCTGCTGCGCGACAACCACATCACAACCACAGGACATCAACCATGTCATAAGCTGCTGCATGACAACCACATCACAACCACAGAGACATCAACCACGTACATAAGCTGCTGCATGACAACCACATCACAACCACAGAGACATCAACCATGTCCATAAGCTGCTGCATGACAACCACATCACAACCACAGAGACATCAACCACGTACATAAGCTGCTGCATGACAACCACAGAGCACATCAACCCACGTACATAAGCTGCTGCATGACAACCACATCACAACCACAGAGACATCAACCATGTCCATAAGCTGCTGCATGACAACCACATCACAACCACAGAGACATCAACCACGTCCATAAGCTGCTGCATGACAACCACATCACAACCACAGGGACATCAACCACGTACATAAGCTGCTGCATGACAACCACATCACAACCACAGGAGACATCAACCATGTCCATAAGCTGCTGCATGACAACCACATCACAACCACAGAGACATCAACCATGTCCATAAGCTGCTGCATGACAACCACATCACAACCACAGAGGACATCAACCACGTACATAAGCTGCTGCATGACAACCACATCACAACCACAGGGACATCAACCACGCATATAAGCTGCTGCATGACAACCACATCACAACCACAGGACATCAACCATGTCCATAAGCTGCTGCATGACAACCACATCACAACCACAGAGACATCAACCATGTCCATAAGCTGCTGCATGACAACCACATCACAACCACAGGGACATCAACCATGTCCATAAGCTGCTGCATGACAACCACATCACAACCACAGGGACATCAACCACGTACATAAGCTGCTGCATGACAACCACATCACAACCACAGAGACATCAACCCATTGCATAAGCTGCTGCATGACAACCACATCACAACCACAGGGACATCAACCACATCACAACCACAGAGACATCAACCACAGAGACATCACCCGCGTTACATAAACTGCTGCATGACAACCACATCACAACCACAGGGACATCAACCACGTACATAAGCTGCTGCATGACAACCACATCACAACCACGTACATAAGCTGCTGCATGACAACCACATCACAACCACAGAGACATCAACCACGTACATAAGCTGCTGCATGACAACCACATCACAACCACAGAGACATCAACCACGTACATAAGCTGCTGTATGACAACCACATCACAACCACAGAGACATCGACCACGTGCATACATACATTCATACGTCCTGCCATAAAACTCTGGTTGATTCTGAAGCAGTTTAGGCCCTAACTCGGTTGCTGGGACTTTGTCAATGAGGTTCTGCGACCATTGCCAGGGTATTTGCTCATGCTATCAATCACTGGTTTGCTGGTCCCCAACTCTGTTTTTTTACAGACTACATTAATATAGCTGGAATGTCTCTCACTACACAAAACAACTCACTAACTCCTATCGATGGTAATGTTTTTCTACAGCAACTGAGTTGGATCACTGTAGAACATGAACCTTCATGTATCATTCCAGTGTAAGTCTGTGAATGTAACCTGTGAAGTACTGACTATTCCTGGTCTGTAGTCCCTGGTATAGTCCTTGTGCAATGCAATGCCACCACTTGCTGTCTGACTGTCATGTACTTCTTGAGAGCATATGTGGCCCCGTTGTCAAACATGTATTAAATTGCTGTTTAGAGTTGTGTCCCTTGGGTGAGCCAGACACCAGTTAGTTAGATTCCCAAGTTTTGTAATCATGTTGCATTGTGAGCGCCATATCAAGCCTGATGGGTTCACTGTAGAGGTGACATCTGATATCTGTATCACTTTAGGTTTTCCTCTTGGACATGTTTTGGTACATGTGGAATACTGTCATAGCAAACACATTCACCAGGTTTCCAGTTAGTTGGAGACACTGTTAAGTCAGTTGGCTTGAACTGTCTCCAGAATTTGTCAGTGTCAGTTGAAAAATAGGAATGGGTTTCTAAATTTTCCCTGAAATGAGTGAGTGAGTGAGTTTAGTTTTATGCTGCTTTTAGCAATACCATGGTGGGGGACACCAGAAATGGGCTTCACACATTGTACCCATGTGAGGAATCGAACCCGGGCCTTCGGCTTGATGAGCAAACACTTTAATCACTAGACTACCCCACCGCCCAAATTTTCCCTGGACTGTTCATACATATGTATGTATGTGTGTCTTACTTATTCCTTTATGTTTGTTGCTTAATGCATTCAGCAATACACCAGCTATATGATCGCAACCTGTATATGTAGCTGAGCGTGAACCATACAATCCACTGACTGATATGCATCCACCAAGTCAGAGTGTCTGACCACACTGTCACATGGTATATGTAGCTGAGTGTGAACCATACAATCCACTGACTGACATTGGGTTGTGATGATATGCATCCACCAAGTCGGAGTGTCTGACCACTCTGTCACAAGGTATAGACACTCTGACCACTCTGTCACAAGGTATATGTAGAACAATACATACAAGCTGCATAATGAAGGCAAACACATCTTCTGATTGTTTTGTATGTTATGCCAACATATAGGATTATTTGTGTGAGTGTTATTGATCTATTTATTGTTGATTTATTTATATTTTGTATTTGTGGTATATATGAAATACCGCTTTCTTACGATATATGCAATTATGAATGATTTACTCGAAAATAAAATCTGTTAAACAAACTGTAGTAAATGTTTGTTTTGTACAAGTTTTGACAAGCTGTGCCAGTCTGATGCTGATGCATCAACACAGCAAAACAAAATACATGTATAGGTAATACTGAAATGTGTGAAAACATTATGTGTATGTTCCATGTTTTCACATATCTTCAATGAAACCTGTTTTTAGGCACTCGTAATGTTAAAGTCATTAATAATGTTACATATACTGAGTCAAAAAAAGAAACTTCACATTCTTTCTTCAGGGCACTATAAAAGAACAAGAGATGGTAAGATGGTTAAATTGTTATTATTTCATTGCTGAGATCTGTGTGATGTACTCGATACACTGACAGTGCCATAATCAGTTCCATTAGGCTACACCGCCGTTCCAAAACATGGGTATACAGAATGTCAAGTCACAAGAATAAAAATGCGAAATTTCTCAGTTCAATATCGTGTATGGCTGCCCCACGCATTCACCACTGCCAAACACCGTCTCCTCATCGACTGCCTGATGCTTGTGAACACGTGGTTGGGGATTCTGCGCCATTGCTCTTGCAAGGCAGCGCCAAATTCCTGCAAATTCTGAGGTTGGTTCCTAAGACCACGAAGCCTCCTCCCAAGTGCATCCCAAACGTACTCTATTGGATTAAGGTCAGGGGACCTCGATGGCCAGTCCATGATGTTGATTCCATCGCTTTTAAGGACATTTCGTGGTCAACAT